CACTCATATCAGAATGCTGTTTCAAGTCCGAGTTGCTCTGTTTTAAACCTGACCCCCCTACTAATGTTCCTGGGAAAGCAGTAGAAGATGACCTGGTACCTGGGTTCCTGCCTCCCAAATGGGAGACCCAAATGGAGTTCTAGAATACTGGATTCAATCTAGTTCTGTCCTTGATACTGAAGTCATTTGGGGAGTGAGCCAAAAGGCAGAAGATCTCTTTCTGTGTCCCTGGTCTTTCAAGTAAAAATAAATCCTTAAAAATGTTTGCTTCAAATTTAATTATTGGTATGTTTACACTATTTTATTGTCTTTTTGTCTTATTCCCTTCTGTTTTTAATCCTCAGTTTCTCTTTGCCTTCTTCTAGGTGATTTCTTTTTCTTTTTTTTTTTTTGTGCACAGGTTAAGACAACAGTTGGCATGACCACAGTTCATATTGAAGTGTTTGGGTTCCAGTACAGCTCCACTTTCAATTTTGGCTTCTTGCTGTCATGCACCGTGGGAGGCAACAGGTGACAACAGGTGACAGCCCAAGCACTTAGGTGCAGCCCACCCATGGAGATGATCTAGGTCGGGTTTTAGGCTCCTGTTTGCAGATCAATCTGAGCTGTCGCAGACATCTGAGGAGTGAACCAAGGCATGGAAGATCTCTCAAACATGAAAGACAGAGACAGAAGGAAGGCAGGCAGGAAGGAAAGGATGGCTGCTGACATGATGGGTTTGTTTTCTTTTTCTTTAATTTTACAGCAGATTGATTCTGTTTCCGGGCATGGATTTCTGTTTACCTTACGTGGGGTTTGCTTAGCATCTTGAATATGTAGGTCGAAGCCTTTCTCCCAACTTGGGAAGCTTTCATAACGATTTCTTTAAATATGTTTTCAGCATTGCACTTTCTTTTCTCCTTTTCAAACTCCAAAATTAGACAACATTAGACCTTCCGTTACTTGGCATGCTTCATTTTTCTTTGTCATATTTGCTCTAGTTAGATAACTTCAGGTATTTTAATTTTCAGTGTTAAAACTCCCATCTGTTACTTCTTTGTGCCTTCTTTATCTTTATTGATAATTTCTAGTTTAGCATTCATTTGAAGGTCTGTGATGGCTTGTTCAAGTGTATTCACAAGGTGACAGCCAGATTTTGACATCTCTGTCATCTTGTCATTGGCATGACAAGACTTCACAAAGCTTGTGAAAAACAGTACTACAACTTAAGTTGATTCTGGGGCTCAGTTTTTAAAACCTTGTACGAAAGGGTTCCTCAGCAAATAAATGAAAATTATTATTATGAGAAAAAAAAAGCATTACATGGATTTCAAAATTCACTGCAATAAAATAAACTTAGTTTTTAAACTTCATTTTTCTATGAAGTTTTTCATGTCTCCTTGAGTCAGATCAAGTTGACATTTTTGGAGTTTTTCATTTACTGAATAATTCTAGAATATGTTCCAAACTTGGGACAGTATTCTGAAGTCATCAGCCTGTCTGGAGCCTATGCTGACACTGGTATTTCTGCTCCAGCAGGTAAGCGGCCTGGTTAGGATCAGCCTGCAAGTTCCGTTCCCACACGTGCGTGTCCCTTAGGGGCCAGTCTGGAAGGCAGGTGGTGTCTAACCATCAGCCCAGTTCTCACAGCTGTTTCTATACTAATTAAGGTCACATCCGAGCACACACAGGGTGAGGGTGCTCCCCAGAGTTTGGCTTTACACAGTTGTCTCCCCTGGCACGTACGCCCGCATTCCTGAGGATTCCCATTCCCAACTGCTGGGGCCCAGTGAGTCCCATGACTACGCCAGGCAGTGCAGTGGCAGAAGGAACAATGGGCAATGGGTTTTGTCTGGTGTCCCTGGGTCCCCACCGCCTTTGCCAGCAGGGGAGACTCTGCTGGCAGACTCTCATTGTTTCCTTCAGCCTACAGCAAAGCATAGGGAGACCCAGAAGAATTCAGGGCAGGGATTACCTGCTAAACTGCAGGTGTTTCCTTTCCCAGAGGATCTCTGCGCAGCCCCCCTGTCACCTACCCACTGTGGGGCACTGATTCCTGCTGAGTTCCCCAACCTCATGCGGCTGCTACTTCCCCAGGTACTCAGCTTTGTCACGTGCCTGTTCCAGATTTACAGTCAAGCTCAGCATCAAAAAATGCTGAGATGGCTATATATATTTTTTTTCTTATTATTATTTTTATTGGAAAGTCAGATATACAGAAAGGAGAAGAGATAGCAAGATCTTTCGTTCATTCATTCACTCCCCAAGCGGATGCAAAGGCTGGAGCTAAGCCAATCCATAGCCAGGAGCCAGGAACTTCCTCCAGGTCTCCCGCATGGGTACAGGGTCCTAAGGCTTTGGGCCGTCTTCAACTACTCTCCCAGGCCACAAGCAGGGAGCTGGATGGGAAGTGGGGCCGCAAGGGATTAAAACCAGTGCCCATATGGGATCCCGGTGCGTTCAAGGAGAGGACTTTAGCCGCTAGGCCACCATACCAGGCCTAAAACCCATAATATTTTTTTATCATATATGCCAGATCATTTTTTATAAAGACTTATCTTACTAATTGGAAGCTAAAATAACAGAGACAGTAACAAAAAGAGATCTGGGCCCAGCGTGGCGGTAGCCTATTGGCTGAAGTCCCCGCTTTGCACCTGCCAGGATCCCATATGGACGCCAATTCTAATCCTGGCTGCCCCATTTCCCATCCAGCTCCCTGTTTATTGCCTGGGAAAGCAGTCGAGGATGCCCCAAAGCCTTGGAACCCTACACCCATATGGGAGACCTTAAGAGACTCCGGGGTTCCTGGCTTTGGATTAGCACAGCTCCGGTCATTGCAGCCACTTGAGGAGCAAATCAACGGATGGAAGATGTTTCTCTCTGTCTCGCCTTCTCTCTGTATATCTGACTTCCCAGTATAAATAAATAAAATCTTTAAAAAAAAAAAAAAGAAAGAAAAAGAGATCTTCCATGTATTGGTGCAACGCATCCAGAGGAAAGAAGGAATCCAGACTGGATTTTGGTCTCCCATGTTGCTGGCAAGGACCTGAGTATTTGGGCCATCCTCTGCTGCCCTCCCAGGAGCACTAGCAGGGAGCCAGACTAGAAGCAGAGCAGCCACAAGACTCGACCTATAGCTCCAATACGAGATGCCAGCATGGCGAGCAGCAGCCCAATCACTCTCCCACAAAGTCAGCCCTTCTATTGTTAGAAGCAACCAAATGTTAAAAGGAATACATATTAGAAGTGGCTTGAGTAAGTCAAAAGCAACTTGAATTTAAAGTAAAAAGAAGTTTATACAAATAACTTGGGCCACACTCCCAGGCGTAGGTTGTAAGGGTCAGTGGGTCTTTTGCAGGCACTGATAAGAGCAAGAGCCCATTGTCCACTGCACCCAGGCTCAGGATGTAAGTAAGGGTCAGTGGCCCTGATTAGGGTAAAAATAAAATAGCCCCATGGTCTGTATTTCAGATATGCTACCTATTGCTTTGCATCTGTAACCCCCTAGCTTAGAATAGTTTTGTCTTGTCATGATGAATAGAGACTTTAGGCATTTCGCGGCCTTTAGTTGATTGGAGTGTTTCAGATTTGCTTTAAAATGATTGGAGTGCTTTTCGCGGGTGCGGGCTTTGCTGTAACGGTCAAACTGACCTATAAGAATCTGACTTGCCCCTGGCTCGGGGTCTTGCTTCATCCACCGGTCCTGCGTGTCCGTTTGAGGAGCCTGACCCTGGCTAGCCAGCTCAATAAACTCTGCTTGCTGATTGCATCCACGTCTGGTTCTTTGCTATCCAACAGAGGGGCGATTTCAGACCTTAATACTATATCGGATACTGTACCCACAGATTTCTCCGCACAAATTATGCTAGCCCCAAAATAACACTGCCTCCACAGAAGAGATTTAATTTCTCCTCCCAAGAGCACAGAGCTGAGAGTGCCCTGGTGAGGGAGCTGTGAACCCTTGGGGCCTGGCTACTCAGCACGACACTGGACCCTGCCTCCTCAGACAGGTTCAGCAGAGCCCACCCTCAGAGCATGGGCAGTAGGCCCCCTCTCTTAGGCACACGGCCGGAAGGACACCTGGATTCCTAGGCAGCCCTACCCACAGGGTAGGCTCCCAGGGAAAATGGGGCCAACACACAGCTCTCATCCCTCATTCAGCATCCTGCCGAGACCCGGCCAGATCATGCTCCACCATTCAGGTTCTCGAGGCCTTCAAGCAGATCGTTTTCACAGCTCAGCCATTTCTTGCCCTTTCCCGTGGATGTCAATCCACATTATTAGCAATGCGACCTACTCCACCTATTTAAAGACACAAAATGACTGGGAAAGGTTTCCTGGGTCACTCAGCTTACAGGTTATCAGTTTAACTGCACTGACAATTTGCTTCACCTTCCTGTGAGTGGCTGTGCATTAAAATCAAGAGGTCACCCCTGAACCTTTGTTGATTTTGAAGTGGACTTTTGCAGGTGAGTCTCCTCATCCTGGTCTCCCAGCCTGAGCAGGATCCAGCCCGTTCTTTTGAGGGCCCCAGTTCTCAGTGTGTGGGGTTTCATTAGTGGTAGACTTTTCAGCGTGTTAAGAATTTCACTGTGGCAGCAAAAATCTAAAGGTGAGTTGCTGGAAGATATGAAACTGAAATGAACTTCTAGCTATGTCATAGCTGCTCAATGAAGTTAGGTCTGGTTACCTAGTCAGTCACATCTTCTTAAAAGAGCATCAAATCAGGATGTTTCCAAAGTTCCTAAGCATAGTTTGTCATGATCTGCACCGGCAGGTGCAGTGGGCCAGTTTCATTGACGGCTGGAGTCACACTCCTCCAGGCCCCAACCGGGCTTCTCCCCAGACTGCCCACAGCCCAGCTTGGAAGAGGCCAGGCCAGTGCTCAGCACACACCTGCTGCCTGAGCCTCCCACATGCAAAGGTCCTGGTGGTACTTCCTCGCTCTGCTGATTAGGGGGCAAATGGGCAGTGAGGAGGGTTACTTCCGGGAGGTGGGGCTGGCGTGCTGCCATTCCTACCTTGGCTGGCTTCAGACTGCAGGGAGCTTGGAGGCAGAGGAGGTGACGATTCGAGGGCATCGGCCAGTGGGTGCTCAGCCACAGGGCAGATGATAAACCACCGCTTCCCTGTGTGCAGAACTGTAAAGGACGGTGCGCTGAGGGAGGGCCTCTGCACGCAGAGAGCCCCCGCCCCTGCAATGAACCCGCCGCCCCTAAGGTCACTGGGGACTGATGGGCAAGGAACCCACATTCTTCATGCTAACTCTAAACAGCTTCCCTCCAAGACACAGGAGTCCCATGAACCTTGAAGGCAAGGCCCTTCTATCTGTTCTTCTCTTACCCCTCACCCCCAGCCATTGGCAGCCAAACCTCCCAGAGCAGCCTGGATTGGGTGCAGTTCTGGGGCTGCCTCAGCACCAGCCATAGTGGTGGTGATGTAGGTCAGCAGGTAACAGGTACTTAGAATATGTGGCTGTCCTCCACCAGGGACCCTGGTCACCACACACTCCCACAAGACAACGGCTGGAGCTAGCCGGTTTGTATTAGGTGGGGGATTTTATCAAAGGCCAGTTGCTGAGAGAGGGTCAACAGAGGAGAGTCAGCATGCACGACTCGGGCAAGGGACTCACCGTTCTGCTGATACACGGGGGCATTCACCTGTGACTGTCCACTCTCCTGTGGAAGGGTGGGCGTCAGCAGTCGGCACGGCTGCCTCAGGGAAGCAGCCATCTGCCCAGCCCACTGCCCAGGGTTCTGAGGTCTCACCTCGCCTGCACCCAGCACACAGGTGCCCAGGTGCGGGGGGCTGGTGCCAGGATCCGAGCCCCGGTCAGCGTCTGTGTCCTCGCTGAGCAAGTCCTCTGCCTTGTCCATCACTTCCTTCATCTGCTCGATGAACGTGTCCCTCTCAGCAGGCAGAATGAAACCATGCTCCACCTATGGCAGGCATGGCTGGTGAGGACTCTACTGCCCTGACAGGGCGAGCAACTGCATCCCCACACAGAGGTCATACTGCTCAGCAAGTGCAGCAGGGCCACTCTGGGGTGGGCCAGGAGCATGAGTGGCTCCACTGGAGAAGCAGGGCTCCGAGAGGCCCAGTGGCCACCAAGTGGTCCGTGCTCCCTGTCCCTGAAGAGCTTTCAGCAGCAGTCCTTACCAACTACTCTCCCTTTTGGGGGAAGAGCCCAAATGCCTAGCTGAGCGGCAAGCTCTGGCTATGCGGGCACACCTGTTTTTCACCAGAACTGCTGGGGCCTGGCCTCCCCATGGGGTCCCCTTCAGCAGCCCCAAGGCTCTTCTCAGAGAAAGAGTCCCCAGAGTGGGACAGGCGGGCCTGTGGCTCAGGCCACTTAGAAGTGGATGGGTCTCAGCCTTGCTGAGGGTGCATGTGACCGTGACATTGTCCAAGGGACAGGCCATGGCTGCAGACCAGGCAGCCTGCTGTGACTGGAGCTGTAGGGCAAGAAGACTACAACTGGAGCCCAGCACGGTAGCCTAGTGGTTGAAGTCCTCGCCTTGGACACGCGGGATCCCACATGGGCACCGGTTTGTATTCCAGTTGCTCCACTTCCCTTCCAGCTCCCTGCTTGTGGTCTAGGAAAGCAATCGAGGATGGTCCAAAGCCTTTGAAACCTGCACCCAAAAGGGAAAACCATAAGAAGCTCCTGGCTTTGGACAGGCTGATGTGGCTACTTGGGGAGTGTTAGTCAGGAGGACCACGGAAAAGGCAGAAAACCCCTAGGTGGTATCAAAAGTTCCCGCCGAGAATAGCCGGCCCCAACCAAGCAGAAGACAGCACACACCTTAACCTCAAGGCCCACAGCATGACTACTTAAGGAAGGCCTGGCTCAGTCCAGGAGTGACCTTGAACCAGTGAACCTCCCCCGGGAGCAGATCCCAATAAAACCTTGCTTTTATCATCATTCTGGTCTCGGTAGTCTTGCTGTTTTGGGAGGAGTGAATCAGCAAATGGAAGATCTTCCTCTCTTTCTCTCTAAAAACTGGCTTTTCCAATAAAAAAAAATAATAATAAATAAAATCTTAAGGAAAAAAAAAGCTGAAGGAGCTGAGAGTTATCTGTGGCCCAGGGACTTTTCACCAGCCAAAACACCTGGTATCTTGGAGCAATCAAGTCCAATATTATCTCTTCTTCCTGTCCTGAAGAAGGCTCCCCATCCCCAAGGCCATCTCCTCCTCCTCTCCCTTTGTTCAGGATTGCTGTGTTGCTCTTCCCTTCAGGCTTTCTTTAATTAATTAACATAGGGAAACCAACTCTAGAGACTCTTAGTTCCACCCAAGATAGTGAATTAACAAAAGCTTGCATATCCTGGCCTTTGTAACAAGAGCTTTGCAGGCTGGCTTTTTGGGGTCAGTCTTCTTAGACGAGGTGTGTCATCCTAAAAGCCTGGATGATGGCAGCAGTGTAGTTTAACACAATCATTTCTCCCTTAAGCACTGTCTTGCTGTCTGTCCTATCAATCCCCACAGAAGACCTTGACCATTTGCTGGGCAAGATGCCATGGGGGGTGCCCTGCCAGGCAAGAGGGCATGTGATATCCCAGTTTGGGAAAAATCACTGAGCTAGAATCCCTGAAAACTGGAGGATTGCTTTAAAAATAAATGAATGAATAGAAAAACACGCCTCTTTTTATGTACAGAGAAAACAGAGTGTCGTGGTCTGAGTGGCAGTCAATGCCAAAACATGAACCCTTGACATTCTAAGTTCATCCACACAGATGCCACACATCTGCGGCTGCTGAGACCCTCCGTGGTCGCTATGTGAGGAAGAGGGGAACACTGAACTGCACCCGCCCCACCGTGCAAGCATCCCTTCTTCCACTCAGCCTCCTAGAGGCACAGGAAAGGGGCAGGTGTGAGGGACAGGAGCTGGGCACCCCACAGGGGGCCAAATGCAGGTACTGTCGTCATGCTTGCTTTGCAGGGGAATTTTTGATGACTGGGCTCAAAAGTGTCAAATTCCAATCCTCCGCAATGGGCATGCTTGTAAAGGCAAGGCAAAGAGGCGAGAGTCAGGGTATTGAAGAACCTCAGTGTCAAAAGCCCAACCATTCATTCATAGCTCACTGCTACTAAGAAACTGCATGAGCTTGCAGGTCGAACGGCCCAGGTGACCTTTAGCACTGATGGGCCCCAATTCTTATGAATCAAGGCCCACCTGACTGGTTATCTCACAAGTAGCTCCAAGTAATTAAGTGGGTGCCTCCCTTAGTTGCTGGAGGCATGGGCTGTCCAGCAGATAGGCAGGGATTGTGTAGTATTTCCCCTCACCTTGCACGCTATTGTGAATTGCCCCCTTTCAAGCTATGGTGGGCAACCCCTATAAAAACCCTATGAATGTGCTGTTGGGGTCCACGCTCCAGGAAGGGGTGTTGGTCCCAGCCGGCTGGCCAGTCCGTCAGCCAGCTGCCTGCTCTCAACCAATAACCCAGGCTCGGATGTGCTGAGCTTAAATAAACCATCCTTGTGCACTTGGATCGACTTCAGACTCCTGGTGATTTCCAGAGATCTCAAAATCTGGGCACAACAGTATTAAGTCAAAACAAGGCTGAGAAGATGGCATTTTTACAAGGCTCTCTGTTAAGTCATTGCCACATCACTTGGTGTGTGGAGGCTGGTGTGCCCATACGCATGACAGCCTAGACACACCCCTGAGGAAACTGCTACAAACCCAGGAACAGGGCACCCACAGCTCTTACGGTCACAGGCAGGTGGGGCGGCAGGGGTAGGGGGGGAAAGCACAGAAGCAACACCAGCCAATGGTGCTGCCACCAGAGCCAAGCAAGCATGCTACAAGCCCTCATGCTTGAACTGAGCTTCACCATGTGAACAGATCTATGCATGGCGTAAAGGCCCGCATGGCACATCTCCTGAAACGCTGTCCCAGCACCTGGGTGAGACCTCAGTGATCGCTCAGTTGCTCACTGCCAACCAAGACCCTGCCAGGGTTTGCCAAGTCTCGCAGAAGCGCCTGTGTTGGAAGCCTACTCCGCAAATCCCTAGGTGGATGTGTGAGGAGTCAGACTGGGTAGCAGGCAGTTAGGGTATTCTGGGTCGCCCATTTTTCTCAAATATAAAATGTTACTTTCTCCACCATGTCTTGGATTCTCCCAAGAGACAAGTGCATATTTAACCTATCAACAAGGGTGACATTAACATATCAGTTCCCCACCTAAATTCCAGCTCTGGCCATTGCCAAGGAGTGCAGTGTCAGACTGGCTTCTTTATCATTATTAAGGGTCTGAGGAAATTCACCAATAACACCTTTTTGGGCCTTTTGTCCCAAGGCCAGGCACCATGGAAACCAGGAATTCTCCTTTGTTTATGGAGAAACTCCTTGGATGTGAAGTTTTAAAAGACCCTATCCCCCACACCATTAACTTGAGCTTTTATTTCTTTCCTCCTGCCACTATTGCAGGGGTTGAGGGTTCTTTCTCTCTTAAAGTCCCCTCCTGTCACTAAGATTGGAGCCACTTTTCTCAGCTTTTCTAATAAATCTTGCTTTAAAATTAAAACTGTCCACATGAAAATTCTCTTTTCCTGTGAGACAAGAATTGAGGCTGCTGCTGTACTTTGGGTCAAAAACAGATGGAATGTGATGGCAGAGCCTTTGGGGGACTGGGAATGAAGGTGGATCAGGCCCCACGATGGCATCCCACAGCAGGCACCTGCTCCACCCTGCCAGGAAGCCTTCACCTGGTGCCAAGCGATGCTGGCACCCTGCTCACAGACTTTCTGGTCCCCAGCACAACGGGCTACATGACCACATACCTTGATCTCTTATCATTACTCGGCTTCAGGGATTTTATTGTTGCAATAGAGAAGGCAAAAACAGTTACCTGCAACTTTTTTTCCCCACCACATCTCAACCTGGGTCCCAACAAGCCATTGCCCTAACCCCATGGTAGCAGGAATCCTGCTGAGTCAGCTTGGTGAGAATTCCCCTACCTGCTCCATCTAACTCTGCCCTCTCTCCCTGCCTGCTCCTGGGCCTATGAACAACTGGCTCCCAGCAGTATTATGCCTGTCACTGCCCCACCACCACGGCCCTGAAGAGCAGCTTCCCGGTGCTACTAAAAAGCATGGGAATAATTTATATCCTCTTTACCACTGTGGGGGCCATATATGGAGCCCCTGCCACATGTGTGGGCCAGATATGGGGTCCTATCCAGGCTACCTCTGGGGAGCAGATACCAAGGAACCCACTTGCTCCAGACAGACAGGTAAGACTCCCCTTAAAGCCCAAATTGGGACTTAATGAAACCAGGGTAAGGCCAAGGCCCAAGGTGCAGCTTGCTGCTTGCCTACAGGCCATCACCCACACAGAACAATTGAGGTCACTGACTTAAAATGTTTCATTATTCTGTTCCCTGGCCCAGGGAGTCCTGGGTGTGTGAGCATCTCTTTCGTCTGTGCGTCTCTGTGTGTGCTGGGTGTCTTCTTAGGGCCTCACAGAACTGCTGAGGGCACAGCGGAACACCCTGGGGCCAGTAAGCGTGACACTGTGAGAAGTTTATGAGCAAAGAGGACTTCATGGGTAGGACAGAGGTGTCGGTAGAACCGGGGACCAGGGACAGAGATGCAGGGCTTGGCAGAAGTCCCTGCCCAGCGGGGAGGCTGGCAGGAAACTCAAGGACATGAAGCACTGGGGACACTTTTCCTTCCGCTGACACCACACCGCCTGCTTTGCTCCCTCCTGCTAACCTGAGACCCAGGCAAGGTGTTCTAGGGTCACTCACGTTCACCATCCTGGGGGCAGCTATGGTCGTACCCTGCAAGCTATCACCATACACACCCAAAGGCTCTGCAGACAGAACAGGTGCAGACAGACCCACAGTCCCGGAGACAGCTGCAGAGACCACATCACATCCACAGGCTACTGGACGCCCTTCACAGGGCCACCCTGGACTGCCTGTCCCCATGCATGCCCCAGGCCCTGCAAGGTTAACGGCCTCAGCACCACCGCTGCTGGGGCCCCACCTTACCATGTACGTGGCAATCTCATCAGGCGCGTCTCCATCCAAGTCAAACTTGAAGGTCACCATCTTGCGGTTGTGTGTCTCCAGCTGGCATTCCACCATTTTATCCCCTGTGTTGCATACCTGCCAGGATGGACGAGGACAGTCAGCGGGCATCAGATCATACAAGAGAGAGCATGCCGCACCCATGCCCCCCTCACCCTCCACTCACGTTCAGGATGGTCAGCCGGGGCCGGCTGGCCCTCTCTTGCCGGGAGCGGGCACGTGTGGACCTGCGGTGGTGTCTCCGTGATGCTCTGGTCTCCAGCCTGCCCCCACCAAAGCCGCCTTCGCAGCCATCGCTTAGTTCTTTGCCGGAAGGGATGTCAGAGCCTCCACAGCTGAGTGAGAACCAAGAAAGTCAGGGGCACCCATGGACTGCCAGCAAGTCCATGACCCAGAGGTCACCTAAGGACTCTGATAGGTAACCAGCTTCTACACAACATGGCTTGGCCAGAGTCTGCAGCTGTGACTTGTGGAGGTGGGGGCCTCCCTGCCAGGGGTCCCTCAGGGCCTGTCTCCTCACTGCAGCGTCCATTTGAGTAACATCTGGGCTTTCTGGTTATTGGCCATGTCATCCGTGGCCCCACCAGCCTCCTGACCTGGGAATAGTGAACCCTACCCTTCCAGACTCATTTGTCTCCTTGTGCAACAGGTTCCCACAAGCTATCGGAAGCTGCTTTAGGATGGCACACGAGCCTGGAACCCAGCCAACGGAACAAATGGCCACTCCCTCAGAACAGACCCAATGAAGGCACTGCCCATTCCTGCAGCTGGGGCAACCGGGAGACCCAGGATCTACCCTGTTCTTAAGGTCCTTCCCAGACCTCTCACGGCCTTGTTCATCTGCAACATCCTAGCTACTAGGACACAGAATACATATCTAAAACCTCGCTGGAGCTCAGGCAACCAGGTGACAACCTGGGCCTGACCAAGACAACACAGCAGGTGCCTAGGGCTTCCCCAGTCAGGGACAGAGAAGGGGCTGATGTCTGCTTAGATCCTGGACAGCAACATGGGAAATGGCAGCAGGGTTTCCCACAAGCCCGTGTCTGGGTCTGCGCCCTACACCCCAGGTCAGGGTGGACCAGTACCTCTCACAGCTCAGCGGGAGGCCAGGAGGCTTGTCCTGCAAAGTCTGCTCCTGAAAGGAAAAACAGTACGAGACAGGTGGGATCTTTCTGCTCCGGTTGCCCAGCCTCCCTGTCCTGACCCTGAGCCCTCTGATCTGCACTCGCCCCTGGGATTGGGGACCACAGAAAGCAGGCCAGAGATTGTTAATCTTACTGAGAAGCTTGAAGTCACATGGGTCTCTACAAGTCAGAGGCTGCCTGCTTTCCAGAACCGCTAACAGCAGCTTTCCCCCTAAGCTGTGGCAACCTGCGGGTGAGCTCTGTGCACAACTACTTACAAAACACCCTCTTCTCCATCTTGCTGTAGATTTGCACATGGTGTGTGGAGTTTGGGGAGATAGAAAAACAGGAGCACACCCCAACTGCCACAAGTGTTTCTGACTCCTAGGGCTTGAGGCCCCAGGTCACAGAATGCACCCTCCCAGCATCCATGGTCTCCGGCCAGAGGATGAACAAAAGCACAGGGACACGCACCTCTTGAGCTGGCTCCACCGTCAGCTGGACGGCCGGGCCAGGGGGAGCAATCACAGGCGCGCCGGGCAGCGATGCACTTGCTGGTGGCAGGAGCGTGGCTGTCTGGGTGGGCACACTCTGAGACACTGCCACCACCATAGGGGCCAGGGAACTGGGGAACTGAGGCATGAGCTCGGGAGCGGCAGGCGGCCGCACATCCGGCAGCGGTGGAGACAGGACTGCAGCAGGCGTCACAGGCACAGCGGGGACAGGGGTGGCGTCTATGGGGTACGGAGGCGGGTGGCCCAGCAGGACCTGGAGGCACAGGGATGCAGGTTGGGAGTGCAAAGTGGGGCATACCCATTTGCACAAGGGAACCCCCAGGAGGAGTTGGGGGCTGCTCCTCTGCAGTACGCATGCCAGCTGCAGGTGAGCCCTAGCCTCAGAGCACATTCCGCACACAGATACTGCAGAAGCACATAGGAATGCTCACCACATACCCTCTTCCATAGAGCAACCTGTCCATTGGTAGCAATATTCCAACCCACCCTTCTTAAGTAACGAATCTACTTAAGACCAAGCCCAAAGTGTAGGGTGTGCAGAAGTGTCTGTTCTGTTTGGGCCTGCTCAGTTTGGAGCACATTGGAATCCTTCAGCTGCTCCCACAGAGCACCTGACGCCTCCCGCAGAGATGCCCAGCCACCCACGGCTCACCCATGCTCTCTTGTCCTTGGGGACAAGAAGTGAGATGGGGAGAGAAGAGGGTGTGAATTTTTAAAGTGACAGGATCATCTGTCTTCTCTGTGTAACACAGGGCAGAGAAGTCTGAGGACTTAGGGCAATCTCTCTGCCTCTCATGAAGGCAAATGACGGTCCATGCGGGCCCACTGGCCACAGGTCCTCTGCCAAATGCAGGCAGGCTCAGGAGGAGCCTCACTGAGCCAGCAGGGGTCATTCCTCTCCTGATCCGATGCCCCAGCTGTGGGGGTACAGGGGTGGCCAGCCAAGGTCATGGACACATGGGAAATCCATCTCCAGCTGTTCAGCAGCCATGCCTGGAGGGACTCACAGAGTGGCATCTGCCTTCGCCGAGATGCTACAGGTCCAGAGGCTGGTGCCAGGCAGCCAAACCTCAATGCACCACAGGCCGGCCAGCTGTGTCACTGTGGGCTTTCCTCAGAAACAGCTCCAACCAGGAAGCAGCAGGCTTTGGCTTGGGGCCCAGACCTCATGTGCTTCCTCCCCACCACTGTCCCACTGGCCATTAAATCCTGTCCCTTCCCTCTCCAAGCGCAAAGTCCCTTGGAAATCAGATGTCCAGAAGTGATGCTCAGAGAGTTCCACATGTAAAGGAGCCCACCTAAGGTCTCAGCCTGGGCAAAGCTAGGGTGGGGAGCACCCAGGATGCCCCTTCAACTCCAGCCCCCTTGCTTGCCTCTGGGTCAGTCTTCCCCACAGCAGCAGGGTCTGGACCTGCCAACAGGGGAGGGGCAGAAGATGTACAGGCCACAGAACTCCTGGGAGGCAGAGATAGGGAGGCTCCAGGAAGGAGGCACAGGTGCAGGGAAGCCCCCACAGGGGGCTCCCATGCCAGCTGTGTGTGTGAACAGATCAGCCTGGAGTGTGCCATGTGGAGTCTAATGGCAGGATTGCACCCGCCATGGCCCTGGTGCCAACACATCCTTACAGCCAGCTAAGAGAGCTGCCTAGGGTTTCCACCTGACATAAGGGCAGGCCCCCAGTCTCATGGAGACCCAGACCCCTCCTCTCTCCTGCAACTTGCTGCTAAGACAGAATGTCCCAGCTTATCCTAACAAGGTGCTCTATGAGAGGGTGACTCAAGATGCACCTCAGCCCTGATGGCCTCAGGGACCTGAGCACAGGTAAGTGCATGGCTCAGCTCTCCACCACCCCCACACAGTGGGTGGTGTGCCAGGTCAGAAGGAGCATCACCCATTCCAATGCCAGTGACTCTCAACCAGAAGGGATGCCCAGGGCAGAGTGGCCTCCTGTCAGCACCACCTGCCCCTTGATCCAGGTGCCGAGGCACAGCCACAGTGCAGGGAAGACAGCACTGAGGATGCCTTCAACTGCTGGGTGCTAAGAGTCCTCCCAGCCCAGTAGAGAATTACCTGGCTTCCTGGGGCAGCAGCTGGAGCCTGTTCAGGCAGGTGGACGATGCCGGGCTGGAGGGGCTGAGGTGGCAGAGGTGGCACCGGCTGCGGGGGGGCGGCCCTCACACCCTGCACCGTGTGGTGGGGGGATGGAGGGATGTCAGCGGGCGTTATCTGTGGGAAGGCTGCCGGGTACACCGGGGGAGCCGGGAGCTGAGCCGGGAGCTGAGCCGGGAGCTGGGCCGGGAGCTGGGCCACCGTTGGGTGGAGAGACAGGGCAGCCACACCCTGCGGGGCCATGGCCAGCAGCGGGATGGCAGCTGGGGCATTTGGCACGATGGTGCGGCAGGGCACAGCCAGGGGCGCCCCAGTGGGGTGAGGCAGCTTGACAGCCTGCAGAGGCAGGGCCGGAGATGCGGGCAGCGGGGTGGTGAGGCTGGGCAGGATCACTGCAGGAGAGAAATACTGCTGCGGGGGCACAGGTGCCACGTTGGCGGCCGGCAGGTCAGTGAGAGTCGGAGGGAGAGTGTCAATTCCCGCCAGGGGTGTGATGGGAGGCACAACGGGCATCGGAGGCATCTGCAAGATTCACAGCAGCCATCAGCTGGGACCCCCACCCTCAGCATGGAGTCAGGGTCGGAGGACAAAGGGATTGCAGCTCTGGTCTCCAGGCACTTACTATCTAACCACTCCCAAAGGGGCCCAGACATAAACGCAGTTTAAGTCTTTAAGACAGAAAGCTACTGCAGCAGCCTGGACATAACACACTTAGCTCATGCCCCGAAAGGGTCAAGACGAGGCAGGAGGGGTCAGAGGGGATCACAGAAGTCTGAAGCTTTGGAGTGTTTGGATTGGGACAGTCAGGCCAGAAGACTGCTTTCCGCTCCCACGCCCAAAACCGCATCAGCCTGCTCCCCTGACACGAACAAAGGCAAACAGGACCCAAACTCACTGGAGGTTCCCTGTATAAGCAAAGCCTCTGGGACCCCCCTTACCCATCTTCCCCAGCCACTGGCTAAGGTGACACTCCTACACCATGCGGCCTCCCAGCAGCAGTGCCCTCTGGCCCGCCCCCACCAACCCAGGTACCTGTGGAGGAACTTGAGCGAGTGGCTGCAGGGCTGGCGGGGGCATCTGCAGGGGCTTCAGCTGAGCAGGAGCCACCACCTGGGAGGTGGGAGCCAGGTACGGAGGCAGATGGGAGGCTACAGGCTGCAGAGGGGCCACGGGCTGCGGGGTGAGGACCTGCGGCAGGGGCGCCGGCTGGGCCAGTGGAGGAGGCTGTAGGACAAAGGGGCCACAGACCACTGGCCTGCTGAGGCAGGAGGCACTCCGTGTGCACAGACACAGGGGGATGCATAATGACCCTCGCAGTGCAAGCCCACACTCACCAGCAGCACATCCACACTTGCACAGTCACACATACACACACAGATTCACATACCCTCTGGCTTAGCATCAGTTGTGCAAATCCACAGCTGTGCCCACATGCCTACATGTTCACACTAGCACTTACATACCTGCATGTGCGCACAATGACACAGGCGCGCGTGCACACACCCACCCACCTCCCACCATTGAGCCTGTAGCCAGCGACATGAAGATCTGGCAGAAAAGCTCTGAACCCTCCGTGTATGGGACCTATTTATGAACTGCAGGTGTGTGAACACAACACACTACATGCACACACAGCCTGTTGGGAGACTGAGAAAAGGGACCTGCACAGATGCTCATGAAGCTTCACCCTGGACCACAGAGCTGACAACCTGCCCCTAGGACCTGAATGGTGTACGACACTCACCTGTTGCCCAGGAGGGACTGGCTGTCCAGGGGGCACTGGCTGGCCAGGAGGTGCTGTCTGGGCAGGGCCCGTGGGCACGGGAGTGCTGGATGGTGGCAGCACAGGTGGGAAGCTCATCGCCGGCTCCGGGAAAGGCTGGAGGAGCTGAGGGTGGGCAGGGGCTGGGATGGGACCCACCGACAGGCCAGGCTGTGGAAAGGCAGGACACACTCAGTGGCCGCCCTGGGTTTTGTCCCCTCATCCCTGAACCCGGCCCCTGCCAGGACCCTGTTCCCAGGGATTTCAGCACAAGTCGGGCATGGCAACACCACAGCATTATCGCCAGCAACGAGAACCAGCCCAGCCAGAAGCCTCCGCCCATGCTCAGGTGTCTCCACGACCAGGAACCATCACCCTGGGGCAGCAAAAAGCCATCCCTCACAGGGGCGCCTGCTCTTGCTCTGAGCTGCATCTGGCTGTGTTCTGTGAAAGGAACAAAACTGCCCAAGTCTGGGGGACCAGGTGGCAGGGGGCAGACCAAGCCAATAGCTCTGGCTGCTTCTCCAAGGGACTTCATCAGTGAAGGCAGGGGCATGGTGGGCAGCTGGCAGGACCAAGTGTCCAGCAGAACCTCGGTCAAGGAGAGGCCTTAGCGGTGTGAGGGAGTGAGAACCACAGTGGGGCAAAGAACTGGCTGGGAGAGGCTCTTTAGGGAGTGGTGTAGACAGAGCCCACCCTTGCAGGGGTCAGCTTCTCCCTCTGAGGACTTCCTGTCCTGGGAACTAGGGATTAGGAAGTGAACGCTGACTGTTTTATTGCAAAAAAAAAAAAAAAAAAGAAAAAAGAAAAGAAAAGAAAAACCCCGTGTGAGCATTCAGCCAGGGGTTAAAACGCTTGCCTCCTATCCACAGCACAGCACCTGGGTTCCATGCTCAGTTCTGGCTAGCGACCCCATCTGCCTGCTAATGCAGTTCCCGTCACCCACACGGAGACCTGCACTGCGTTCCTGGCTCGCGACTTTAGACCCCAACCAGCGCTTGTTGAATCGGAAACCTAGGGAGGGATCCAGCAGATGGCAGTATCTGTCTGTCTCTGGCTTTCTAATTAGATGGATAAATGTACATGTTTAGACTGGCTTCCCGCTTGGAAACAAACATCAAGACACTGAAACTGAGTCTCAGGCTTTGCTGCAAACAAAGATGTGCTTCTGCCACCTTTGGGACAATTGGAGATGACATCTTAGGCCAACTCTGGGTGCCGGGAAGTGGCCTGTTGCTGCCGTATGCACTAGTACCTGCTCAAGGGTCAGGCAGGGCCAGCCCTCCCACATCTCAACCCCAGGAACGGTTAGTCTCTGTTCCCGACTGCTTTTCTTACGGGAGGTCTCAAGGAATATGTCAGGGTCCACCGTTCCCTAGTTCCTGGAAAAGATCTTGGGGTCCCTGGGGTCTGTTCTTGAAGGTCTCGCAGGCAAGGTGACCATCAGCCAGCCAGGGTCTCTTTCACCCCGACCACAGCTGGTCCAGACTGGGCAACCTCAAGGCCCTGCACATGTCACTGAGGTGGGGTTAGCTCTGGGACTCACCGTGGCCGTGGGTGGCTGGAAGGATCCCAGCAAGGGCAGGCTGGGTGGGAGGCCGGGTCCCTCGCTCACTGGAGGGCTGCACACACAGGGGGCTGAGGGTGCTGTATCCATGAGGGAGCCGAGCACCATGCTCTGCTGGCTGCTCTGCGAGTCCGAGTACACCGTGGAGCCCTGGCCGCTGTCGAAGGTGCTGTCCGCTGCAAGGGACACAGGCAAGGCTGAGAGAGGGCACTGCACGGGGGCAGATCTGGGCTTGGCTGCCAAATGAACTGGATCATCTTTGCAGATTTCATAAATGACATCGCTTGTTGTCTAAATAGCCACTTCAGAACAGTGCGGGGGGTGGGAGGCGGGGCGCAGCTGCTCCACCTTAACGTGACCCAGCATCGGGCAGCACAAAGGCCAGGGCGGGCATAGCTCACCCACAGACTCCATCATCCCATTCAGTGCACAGCCTGCACGGAGGGAGAGATGCTATCGAACTCCTCAACAACAGAGGGACAAGCTAGGACACAGCTGACGGCTTAACTGAGAAATAGCACCACTCTTCTAGCACAGGGCTCTTGAGATGCCAACTACCTTGACTGGGGCAAAAGGCCAGACAGGGAGCCAGGGCACAGATCAGACCTACCATGACCGGACGGAGAAGCCTCGAGAAGGGCTGCAGCACCAGGTGGGAGGCCTTCAAGGCAGAAGCAGCCCCGAGTGCCCGCAGGTCACACAGGCGGCAGGCAGGAACCTGGGGCCCATGGGCACACCTCACCACCTCAGGCCTGGAGCTCTCCCTGCATGGCCAGGCCCGTGTGACAAGCAGAAGCCTGCCTGAAGAGGCACTTTCAGATCCCGCAAGTCACAGAAGCCACCTCTGAGTGCCAGCTGCTTTTCAAACTAGTGACTTAACAAACTACAGGGGAGATCTTGTAGGCTGCATAATTTTTTCCAGGGACTGACTGGAACTTACTTAACCTAAAAAGGAATGCAGAGATTAATTCTGCAAAACCAATTAGACAATTATCTCTGATTTATAATGAGCCAGCTGGTCATCTGCACAGTCATTTCCACTCAGGCAGGGAGGGGCTGCATGGACAGACCTGGCAGGCTTGAAGTATGAGACACTGTTTCCATTGTGAGTGTCCTTATTCCTCAGATAATGAAAGATGAAATTTAGGAAGCATTTTTGGACTTTCTCACAAACCATGCTGTTGCACGACATGGACCACTTGCAGTGAGAGACGCACAAGAGTGGAAGCATGGAAAGGTGTACTCTGGTGAATGTGCGTGTTTGATGGCCTTGCTCCATGGACCTGCTGTGAACCCCATCAGCTCACCATGAATCATGGTCAGCGTTATGGGACACTGCAGGGCCACTTAGGAGAAGGAGGACAGAAGGGTCAACAGTATGTGGGGTGTGTATCTAATGTTTTAGGTTTATCAAAACATGGAGTAGCGATGCAGCCATCACCCCAAAGTGAGGGCTGTCGATTTGAATTGCCACAGCTCCCAAGAAAGAACGCTTAGCTATTCTCAGGACCAACGAAGGTGATCAATCATGCCTCAGTCTATCCATACGGGAAGACTTTCAGGCGGGCCTGGAGGGATTCTGCTCCAGGCTCCAGCCCCTCTGCCTGGGCCCAAAGACATGAGCAGGACACTGAGATGGGGATGACGCCAGCGGGAAGCACAGGTCAGGACGACAGGCCCCACCTCTGTCCAGCAGGCGCCCCTTTGGTGCAGCAGCCGCAGCCACCTCGCGTGCCCCTCACCCCCATCTTCTCCCCAGACAGGATCAGGACTGGGACCCAAGTCCACAACAGAGTGCTTGGGGCCAAACCTGCTCCCATCAGACCCTGTAGGCTACAGGTACATTCATCCCAATCTCTCTCAAGCCAGATTTCAATGAGCCTTAAATCCCCCTGATAAGGGATGGCTGGAAGCCGGGACCAAGTTCCTAATCCCCAAAGCACACCTCACATCCAGACCCCTCAGGATGGGCTCGGGATTCAGGCCCCACGCTGGTCCTAATCAACCTGTAGCAATCCTCCACCAACCCCATCCTTCCAGATGCACCTGCTTGCAAGGTTGATGATGTGCCTGGGTAACCAAGGATGGGTGCCCATCGCAATGCCAGAGTCCCCGGGAACCCTGGGCCTGTAGCAATGACCAACTCATAAGGACAGCATGGAGTTCCATCCTGCCTGCCTTATGAAACCTTCCAATAAAAGGGAGAGACCTTCCTGGAGTTTGGATGTGGGTGTTGGAGGAAGGTGCAGGGCTGCCACAGCGTCCCACTCTAGTACTCACAGGCCAGGGAGGTGGCGCTGGCTGGCAGCGTGGGAGGCACGAGGTGCTGATCGGCCTCTGGCTCCTCGGGGCCTGGCAGCCCTGGCGGCCCAGCCTGCGCGTGGTAGGTCACTTGAACCTGCAGGGGCACCGGAGGAGCCTTGGCCTTGTCGGGGCTGCCCGAGTCCCGTGGCTCCCGTGACTGCAATGCAGGCCAGATCCTCTCCCGCCGCCACTGAATCAGGGCCACACGGTCACGGATGGACTTGGCCACAATCTTCACATCGCTCTCGTGGAAAAATCCAGACTCAATCTGCAAAAAAATAAAGTCATGGAGTCAGCATCCCAGACACCACTCATACTGCCCTCCGAGGCCCACCACTGACAGACACCCAACAGCATGTGTGTCAAGAGGTCCCACTAGTGGAGTCCTTTGGCAAGGATAGCCCTTAACTAAAGTAGCTTCTTTTAGAAAGCTCCCATCATCTCAGGACCATCACAGGCCCTCGCTGACCAAAATCTGCACACTCCAGCTACTGGGGCTGCATGCAAATGTCCATGGCAGGTACTAGTAGCCTTCTAGGCCCCAACCTGGTACCTCCACAGAAAACCTCAAGCAGCTCAGCTGCCAGTCCTGGGCACTTTGACGCCCAATCCAAGCTTACTGCAGTGCTCAGGAACAGGGGGAAAAGGGGTGCTGGAGGGCAGGGCTGTGCTCAGAATCCTGAGTCGTCTTAGAGACTGGGGGCTTTTCGGGGATGGGGAGACACCCAAGTTGTAAACACATTCAGGAGGTGCTTTCCTGCACTTGGCAGGAGTATACCCAGGGTGAAGGGGTCCCATGCCTGCCAAATCCTAAAATGGATTCTCTACAAAAGATCCAAGAGCATCAGTAAAACAGCCCTGTGACTCCAGTACATGTCAGGAGCTCAGAGGCTAGTAAGTGTGTATGGCTGACCAAGCAAGAGCATATTAGCAAGAGGCACAGCCAGCTCCTCCAATGTAGAAAGCAACCTGTGGTGTTGGCCGGGAATCAGAACCATCAACGAGGACATAAACCATACAGACTGACCACGTGAGCTTTGGCTACCAACATACATGCCACACGTGTCCTATGAGCTCTGTGTACCCCCAACACCCCATAGGAAACCAGTGCAGCTTGGAGGGAAGGGCACAGCTTAGGCCCAGGCAGGCACAGGGCCAAGAATGAACAAGACAGCAAGGAGATGTGCAGGGTTACAATGGGTCCTGCAGACACATGGAACCAGAGGCAGGGCCTCCCACTGGAAAATCTAGCACAGTCGGATATCAGGCGAGCAGGCAGATCGTGAGGGTTAAAGGATGTACCCATGGGCCAGGCGCGATAGTGCAGTATATCAAGTCTTCACCTTGAATGTGCCGAGATTCCATATGGGCACCGATTCTAATCCCGGCAGCCCCGCTTCCCATCCAGTTCCCTGCATGTGGCCTAGGAAGGCAGTTGAAGACAGCCCAAAGCCTTGAGATCCTGCACCCATGTGGGAGACCTGGAAAAAGTTCCTGGCTCCAGGCTCTTGGCTTCAGATTGGCTCAGCTGCAGCCATTGTGGCTGCTTAGGGAGTGAACCATTGGATGCAATATCTTCCTCTCTGTCTGCCTCCTCTCTGTATATCTGACTTCGCAATAAAAAAAAAAAAAAAATACATAAACCTTAAAAAAAGAAAGAAAAAAGGATGCACCCATAAGTCCCAAGGAATTTTTGCATGCTGTGGGGGGAGGTGTGGGAGGAATGCAAACCGACTACAAGAGTCCAAGGGGATGGGGTGTCCCTGCTGCTTGGGAGGTGGAAGGACTGTGGGTGGGTATGACAGCTCGCTCTCTCCCCATCCCACTGCATTTCTGTCTCAGCCTCTTTCTCTCCAGGATCCTGGGCTATGGGAGAAACTGTAGCAGAAACTGGAACTGGGGTCTTGGCCATGAGACCCGAATCAGCTCTTAGTGTATTGTAAAAGGGGCCCTAACCTCAGAGTATTTCAAGTGCTGCATTTGGGGATGCTTTGTCAGGAAGCAGCACACCCTGAGGCTAAAACCCATCAGACACCTTGATGGAAACCAGGATAGCTGCAATTCGCAAGCATCACACATCAGCCACAGCAGGTGGAGATGACACACCGGCTCCCAGCCCTCAGCGTGTCTCCTCTGCAACGGACAGAACCTGCACCGCCAGTCACGACCAACAAGAACGCAGTGCCTTCTTTGCGAGTCCTGGAAAGACCACAGCCCAGGAGTGACCTGCCCCAGCAGGAACCCAAGGACGGGTATTTGGCACTGGGGCTAAGACACCACTTGGGATTGGTGTATCCCACATGGCAGAGTTTAAGTCCTGCCTCTCAGCTTCCAATTCCAGCTTCCTTGCTGATGCACACCCTGGAAGGCAGCAGGTGATGGCTCTGGCCCCTGCATCTATGACATCCAGACAAGACAGGCACACGGTGTTCTGGCTCCCAGCTTCAGCCTGGACTACTACTGGGGCCAACTACAGAGTGAGGCAGAGCATGCAAGGTTGCTTTCTAACATAATGAACACTAAATACATAAATTAAGTAGAAGAAGGGGCCCGAGCTCTCCTGAGGGTCAGGCCACAGAAGACAGAGGGACTCCAGGGCCAAGGGGACGCCTGACCCTGTTGTAGTGCCCTTGCTGTGATGGTGTTGCCGGGGATTTGAGACAAGAGGGCAGAGATGTTTGGCTTGTGCTTTCGATGCTGAATGCTGCATGCAGCTGTGCAGGAAAATGGCCCAGTTTGTAGAAAAAGAACATAAAAATACTCAGCACACGTGGCACCATGTCAGCAACTCACCCTCAGAGAGAGGAAGAGACACAGAGACAAAGCAATGAGAGATCCCCAACCTACCGGTTCACTCCCTAAAGGGCCACAATGGCTGGGACTGGGCCAGAATGAAGCCAGGAGCTTTGCCCAGGTCGCCCCGCTGGGTGCCCTCGGGCCATCCACCACTGCTCTCCCATGTGCGTTAGCAGGGAGCTGGGTCAGAGTGGAGCAGGCAGGTCCTGACTGGTGCCAGCACTATAGGCAGCAGTACAACATACTACAGCAGAACGTCAGCCCCAGGAATGCTTCTCTAATGGATCGGCAAGCTTGTGATTGTTTCAAAACACAATTCCCTTCCGCAGAATAAAGTCCCTTCTTGGCAGTGACCTAGGCTGAGGCCTCCCTGTTACAGACAAAGGCAGGAGCAGCCTGGGTACACGGCTGGACAAGCAGTCAGTAGAGGAATGGTCAGAGGTGAACATAGGCCAGTTCATCCATAAGCCCCGCTGGTAGTGCCACCAGCCCTCCTGGAAAACTAGCGAGCAACACTTACACTTGGCCCTCAGCATAGGAATGGACTTATCCCAGGGAACCCTACAGACCAACACTCATCCACAGGAGACCCAGCAGGCAAGTGGAATATTAACAAGAGAGGCCCCCATCCAGCAGGCAATGCTCCTGACGTGGACACCTGGGGACAGGTGTGCGCAGACAGTGGTCATGTTGCCAAGACCACTGCTACGGGACGAGGTGAGCTGAGGTCACACCAAAGCTGGCACCCCATCTATCTCTGCCCAGGCACAGCTACCCTGACCAGACATTGCTCATGCTAACACTCCCCCCAACGATGGGACATTTCTGCAGAGCCCACAGCCTGCCACCTACTTTCCCCCAGGTCTGTCTGCACAGCACCAAGCCCTCCCTCCAAGGTGTTCACCTTCCCAACAGGGAAGCACGGGGTCACACCCTGCACCACACTGGGAGTATCCCCTCCCCAACTGCAGTATGGGAAAAGTGTTAAGGACTGCAGCCGGTGATGGTAGAAGTCTCTTTGAAGTCTCGCTTCATTGCTCCTTCTCCTCTCTTGTATACTCTTTCCCCACATTCTAATTTAGCTAGGGTATTGGGTACAGATGAGTCCAATTAATCTGCGTGTTTTTAGCTACAGGCCCAGTTCCTGTTCCTGCCCATCCCAACCAGCACTAATCAACTCCTCAGCCCACAACACTTAGGTATTCACTCCTGCCCACCTGTGACTTACCTATCAACTGAGAGGGGATGGCATTGCATTGCTGTGTAACCACCCCCTCACAAGCCCCTTTAAAAGGCCCGTGAGAAGTGGGGGCTCACTCTCTTTCTGGTCAGGTGTTTCTGTTACTCTGGCACCTCGACTCTTGGCTGACCCAGGACAGGTAATCCCCTGAGCATGGTCCCTGTGTACTGCTTAGATGGGACAATGGATATAGCAATGTTGTTCTGGTCTGTGTACTATCAGGAGGTACAGGGGAGGTGAGGCCTAGCAGTAGTGGAATGTGGGCAGAGAAGCCAGGGAAAGGTGACTGTCTGCAGCTTTGTAAGTGTGTCCAGGTTATTCGTTGCATGTCTCTTAGACATTTGATGCATATTGTTGGGGAAGCTGGGACATAGGTCTTCAGCTTAACGGATGGACTTTAGGGTAATGACCATTTGTTCCTCCTGGGGCTATGATTGGTTGGATTATGTTTGGTTGGATTATGTTTGGTTGGATTGCCATATGGGCTTGTGATTTCCTATTTCTAGTGTGCTCTATTATCACCAAGCTTGGTTAATAAAGACTCCTTAATAAACCTTAGACATGTCTGGTGTGATCTCGCTAGCACTATAACAAAAGGAAGGGTCATGACATCTGAACACCTCTGAAACTGGGCCTCGCGAGCTACCCCAGGGGTCTGACAACCTGAGGTCACTTCAGATCAGATGTAGGGACCCCACAAAACTGCACTTAGTCACATTCTCTGAGCTTTCTCCACCATCCCTGCTGAGACCCCCACTTGGCCCCACCAGCCCCTGGGCCTGGGGATCAGCTGCTGTCCCTCTTCAGCCTCATCCCACTCAAGGCCTTATCTGGACCCCCAAACATCCCTTACTCATCATGTTTGTTTTTTTTTTTTTTTTTAAGAGCAGGAGTGGCTTCAGGGGGCTGGCATCTGACAGGCATCAATTCAAAACCCCTGGAAAGCAGCAGAAAGTGCTTGGGCCTCTGCGTACATGTGCGAGACCTTGAAGAAGATTCTGGCTCCTGGCTTCATTCTGGCCCAGCCCTAGCCACTGTGGCCTTTTGAGGAATGAGTTAGCAGGCAAAAGATCTGTTTCTCTAACTCTGCCTTTTAAGTAAATTTAAAAACAATTTTTTTTTTAAAGATTTGTTAAAGAGTGGCCACATGCTATGGGAATGATGGGCAGCAAGGCTCCTCCAGCCCAGGTCCAGGTGTGCGGGGGCATCAGGACCCACTGAGATGAGCTCTAAGGGCCAGGGCAGGAGGGCCAGGGCAGAACCTGGAAAGGCCTCCTGAGATCCCGCAGAAGGGCTTGTATCACCGAGGCTGCTGGGAGGTGAGAAGAGAGTAGAGATGGTTGGAGATAGTCTCCTAGAGAACAAAGCCCTTCACAGGACCAGGCAGCCCCCAGAGTTCAGCCTGCTTCCTTTGGGGGGTTACAGGGGTGTTACTGCTGTCCTGTCACTGAACATGAGCCCTATCACTTCTGCCTGGACATCCTGGTCCTTGGTTAGCATATCCCATGTGTGGACAGCCAAGCGCCAGGGGCGGGAATTAGGGACAGTCTCAGCCTGCAGGAGGCCACACACATGCCAAAGATAGACAGGAGTACTTTCTTGTGATGCAGGCGGGGCTGAGACTGGGGAGTCGACCCTGAACACCCTTGGGGTTAAGCAGCTGAATCCAGACTGCAGGCAATAGTCCAGCTATAGCCAAGCGTCCTTCGGTATCTCCTTGCATCGGGATCTGTCTGATCTCTCCCATACCCTAGCGTGGCTCAGCCATTCTGCAGCATCTGACTCCCAGGCTCCTCCTGCCAGGCCAGAGTAGCCCAGCACCAAGCAGGTGCAACCACATTCAGAGAAAGAAGGAAAGAATCTCGCCCCACCTGGCCTTCCAGAGGCAATTCTGCTGCATCCAGTCCTGGACAAAAATATCCACACTCCCTGCAAGGCCACAGCAAGTGTGGCCCTGGTACCTCCTCAATCCCTCAGGTGCTTGTGTACCATCCCCATCCTCCTGCTCTCCACTACCCACAGTCCATCAACAGTAGCCAGTACATGCTCCCCCCAGGGGGATGCTCTTAGTATACAGCTAGCATCAGATGCACATGGCTGCATACCCCCACAACACTGACCACGGAGTGGCACTGAAGGCACAGGAAGGCTGAGCTGCTGGCTAAAAACACCCCCTGTGTACCACAGAGTCCCCAAGAGTCCCAGAGGCTGAGCAGCACAGATCTGCTCCCTTTAGAAGTTTTTGTTCGGGCCAGGGACATGACTGATAGCAAGCCATGTGGGCACAGGCTGGCCTGGGGACACAGTGGCCCCTTGGTAGCACCCAGGGGTGACAGCGCAGCCAGCTCACAGAAGGAGCCCTGTGGAGAAGCTGCCAGTGTGGAGTCCAGCTCGAAAGAAGGACAATGGACCCCAGCCCTTCCCACAAAGTGTGACCACAGCCTGGACACAGGTCTACGGCTCTGTCCTCAGGTCCATGTCCCTCAGGCGGCCAGGTGGGGCCAGAGGCAGCCGTTCCGCTGTCATGAAGAGGCTTTGTGCTCTCTTGCTGGGGGTCAGGGCTACGAGGTTTTTTCTCAGCACTGATCTCACAGCACAACCAAAACCCCCTACCTGCTGACCTCTTACCCCTTCCAAGGGAACAGGAGGAGCCGAGTCCTCAGGGTGGACAAAACTGAGGGCTCACACCCTTCCCCGTATATCCCTCAGGCTTCAGTATCCCCACCTGCACAGAGTGGCTTCCCTAACTCCCTCCAGGGACTCACTGCACCTGCTCCCCATTCTGGGAAACATACAGGCACCACCTTCAGCAGATGGGGCAAAGGATGCAGACGCTGGAGGGAAGCCACAATGAGGTTTTGCAGCAAGCTGCGAGCATGCTACTGCCATTCTCCCATTTATTTCACCTGCAACAGCCTCACCAGACACTTTGTGCTCTGCCCATTTCAGGGCCAGTCTCATGTTTGTTCATCCAGTAGACTGATTTGTGGTTTAAAATGGACCATCTTTGTCACCACTGACATGGACAGCTGAGTCTCTCTCACACCCCACCCAGGTGACCAGAGCAGCCCCTGTCCATCTATACTATACTCCCATCTATACTCCAGCCACCACCTGTGCAAGTCAGACCCCCTCAATTCAGCAAATGAGTCCCACCTGCACCCCACTTTAACAGCACCCCCGATGGTAGCTCTGTCTAGCAGAATGTGCGAGTTGCCATCTTGGACAGCAGAGCCCCAGGAAATTGAGTCTTCCACTCAGGGCTCTCCATGTCCATCACAGCCCTGCCCGCCCACCACAGACTCCAAGCAATGATCACTTCCCTCATTTGGTGCTGAATATCCCTTCTCTGAATTGCTGCGGAACAGCTGGGCATAGGAGGCCTGTGACTTCCCAAATACAGAACATGTGCCTAGACTTTGCCAGCCGAGAACCCCCTAAACCGAAGAGGTGCAATGTTCCCAGTTAAGGGCAGCCTCTCCTCTCACCCTGGCCCGCACCTAATTCTCCCTTCCCTCACCAGTGGCCGTTGGCTCCACTTCCTGTCTCTCCCCCAAGTCAGCTGAAGGCCTCCTCTGAGAGGCCCGGTGAATACCTCGGCAGAAGGAGGGCAACAGATGCCCCAGCTCCACTTTCAGACGGAGGTACAGGAGAAGGGAAAGAGCAAGAAGGGGAACAAAGAGAAATGCATGCTTCTTCCTGGAAACACACCAGCACAATGCCCCTGAACTACAGGCACCAAAAGATCCCAAATCAGCCCCAACATAAAGACACAAGCAAAAGAAGTGTCCTCCCAGGGCAGTCCTCCCGTGCAAATTCCTGAGCTCCTCCCGGTTCCATACCTGGGCCCGCCGCAGGCCTATCCCAGCAGGCCTATCCCAGCAGGCCTATCCCAGCAGGCCTATCTTACACAGGCAGCAGCATAAGCCAAGCAAGTTACCATTTCCTGGGCCACCTCCTCAGGAGTCTCCTTCTCCAGGTCAAAGGTGAACTCGATGGCGCCATTGTCCTTGGGCTTGCCCTTCAGCTTCTTGGGGTCTTCCACCCACAGCCTCAGGGCAATGGTGGACTTCCGGCCGTGGTCCTCCTCGGCCAGCTCCACTCTCACGCCCGTGTCCTCCGCAAAGAAAGCGTGGCTCAGCAGGTCCTTGATCTCATACCTGCAGAGAGATAGCGGTCACACACAGGGCACACCTACACGACTTGCCTGCAGGGCACGGGCGGCCACATGGCGCCAGGCTGTGATCTGCACAGCCTTCTCCTTCAGAGGCTGTCTGACTCTACTGCCTGGTGGCAGGCTCTGCCCCGCGGGCAGCTCCCAACATAAGCACTGTATCCCAGAAACCCAGGGGACAACAAGACTGTCACCTGAATAGAGACTTAGAAAGAGTTATTTCTTTGAAAGGAAGATTTTCAAACAGAGCGAAAGGAAGGGAGTAGAAGCCAGAGTAGGAGAGGCTCTCCATCTGCCAATTCACTAATCTAAGTGGCCGCAACAGCCAGGGCTGGACCAGGCCGCAGCCAGGAGCAGATTTTTGTAGTGAGGTAGGCAGCTAGTTGAGGGTCACAGCTTGGAAGCCACGCCCCAAGGTGTCCCCTCCTGCCCACCTGTGATGCTCACCTATCATCACCTGGAACCTGAGAGGGGGCGGTATTATGCTGTTGTGTAACCACTCCCCTCACCAGCCCCTATACAGGATCAGGATAAGCAGGGGCTTGCTCCCTCGGTGTGCTTCTGGCACTCTTGGTCTCCCCAGTACCTGCTTGCTCTCTGGCTTCCGGAGGACAGTCTGACGACAGGTAGCCCCTGAGCATGGCCCCTGTGTGTCTGTATTCCTCACCCTCTGTTCACTGCTTGGGTGGGACAGTAAAGACAACAAAGCTAAGATGCTTTGTTTTTCTAATGTGTGTACTTTCAAGAATTCCAGGAGAGGTGAGGCCTAGCAGTAGTGGAATGGGGGCAGAGAAGCCAGGGAAAGGTGAATGTATTGCAGCTCTGTAAGTGTACCCAGGCTATTCGTTGTATCTCTCTTAGGATACCTTATATTGTTGGGGAAGCTGGGACATAGGTCATCAGCGTAACGGATGGACTTCAGGGTAATGACCATTCATTTTTCTTGGGGTTATGACTGATTGCATTGCCAGATCGACTTGTAATTTGCTATTTCTTTAGTGGGCCCTGTTCTCACCAAGCTTGGATAATAGAGACGCCTTAATAAACCTTAGACTTGTCTGGAATGATCGTGCTTGCACCCTGCAATAATTTCTTCCAGGTCTCCCACATGGGTGCCATGACTCAAGCCCTTGGGTCATCTTCTGATGCCTTCCTAGGCACATCAGCAGGGAAACGGACCAGAAATGTAGTACTTGAAACTCAAACCAGCACCCACATGGGATGCCAGCACTGCAGAAGGAGGCTTCATCTGCTGTACCACAGGGTTGGCTCCCACCTGAATGGAGCCTCCCTAAACCTTGTTTAAGACTTCTTTTCTGGGCCTGGCATGGAAGCCTAGTCGCTAAAGTCCTCGCCTTGCATGCGCCAGCATCCCATATAAGCATTGGTTCGTGTCCCAGCGGCCCCACTTCCCTTCCAGCTCCCTGCTTGTGGCCTGGGAAAGCAGTTGAGGATGGCCCAAAACCTTGAGACTCTGCACCCACCACATGGGAGACCCAGAAAAAGCCCCAGGCTCTTAGCTTCAGACTGGCATAGCTCTGACCATTGTGGCCACTTGGCGAGTGAATCAATCGGCAGAAGATCTTTCTATCTCTCCTCCTCTCTGTATATCTGAATTTCCTATTAAAGAAAAAATAAAATAAATCTTTTTTAAAAAGACTTATTTTTCTGCCTTGATAAAAACAACATGCTCACTTAATCAGATTCAGTGAAGACAAAAGCGTCCTGGCCCCTCCAGGTTCAGCCCCACTATGTGCCAGGGAGCCCCCAACCCTCAGCAGATGGAGACACCTGCCTCTGGATGAGACTAACATTTCCAGGCAGGTTTCCTACAGGTTGAGAGACTGCTGAGGGGCCCAGTGTGATGACCTAGTGGCTAAGTCATCGCTTTGTACCCACCAGGATCCCAGTTGGGCTCCAGTTCATGTCCCAGCTGCTCTACTTCCCATCCAGCTCCCTGCCTGTGGTCTGGGAAAGCAGCAGAGGACAGCCCAAAGCCTTGGGACCCTCTACCCACCCAGAGGAAGATTCTGGCTTCAGATTGGCTCATCTCCAGCCATTACAGCCACTTGGGGAGTGAATCAGTGGATGGAAGATATCCTTCTCTGCCTCTCCTTCTCTCTGCAAATCTGATTTTACAATAAAAATAAGTAAATCCTGAGACACACAGAGAGAGAGAGAGCAGGTAAGACAGAAAGGGGTGGAGAAGGTATACTGTAAGGCAGAGGTGGCACTGTGCGAGGTCAGCAAGAACCTGCAGTCAGCTAGGAAGACTTCACACCAGGAGCTAAAGCCCAGGCACCAGATACTGCCACGCCCGAGGTCCACGTGGCTTTGCCACCCAAGCACACCCCAGCCTTCCTCTCTCATGAATAGTTACACAGCAAGCCTTACTGTCAGCCTGCCTTCCTCCCACGTCATGGCTGCCAGGTCATCTGTTGGGCCGTGACGTCAGCCAACCACCCCTCATTACTGTCAAGGGTGCTGTGTGGTCACATGGGTTTATGTGTGGGGAAGAGAAATATCCAACCTTTCCAGCTGCACAGGTGGGGCAGCTATGTCTGCTCAGGGGAGTAAAATGGCCTACATGGGGGCCTCGCCATGGCCATGCTGCTCAGACGCACAAAATAGGCAACCTGGAACTCAGCGAAGACACAGGGCGGCTGAGGCCAATCCAGGAGCATGCAAAGGCTTCCTAATGCCCTGGGGATAGACAAGGTCCCCGCTACCCACCTCCTGAGGTTGACCCTTATACCCCTTCCCCAACCACGGAAAGCTGCAAACAAGCCAAGGGGATGAAGGTGGCAAGTCCCAGGCACTTAAATGCCTGTCCCTGGCAAAGGAAAAAACACATCTCCAGAAGCCGACTCCAGAGGACATCATCTGAGGGCTGTCCATCCTGCAGTCACTGTGCCCAAGCACTCAATGTGGCTTGAGTTCTCTGCTCAGGAACAGGCTATATGCATCAGCTGGAGAAAGATCCGGGGCTGGAGTTGGGGCTAAGGTACAACAAGTCAAACTGCCACCTATTGTGCTGGCATCCCAAAGGAGTGCTGGCTTGACTTCCAGCTGCTCCACTTGCGACCCAGCTCCCCTATCAATGCACCTGAGAATACCAATGTAAGGCAGCCCAAGCACCCAGGCCTCTGCACCTATGTGAGAGGCCCAGAGGGAGCTCTAGGCTCTTGGCTTCAGCCTAACCCAGCCCTGGCTGTTGCAGCCAATGAGGAGTGCACCAGCAGATGGGTGATCTCTCTGTGTGTCATTCTGTCTTTTAAATAAATAAATAAGTAGGTAGGTAAGTTAGTAAATAAATAAATAAATAAATAAATCTGCCTTTTAAAAAAAGGTCCAGGACCCAACAGCAACCACTCAGAACTTACCTTTCCTCCTTGTTTTTGCAGATGCACTCTCCAATAATCTCCTTGATTTCTGGATCGTGCACTTTCTCAAAACTGGCCGGCTTGATTCCCTGAGGAGAGAGCCAAGTCACCAAACAACCAGCAATGGCTCCAAGCCATCCGTGCCACCACCCCCTCCTCCAGCCATGATGGAAGGAAACTGGAAAATGGCCAAGTTCAGATCCTGGAAGCTGGCAGCATGGGACACAGCCTCAGAGACACCTGGGGCCTGCTTCTCCCAGCCTAGCGTGCTGGCTAGGAACAGCTCCAAGGCTAGCCTACCAAAATGCAGCGAGCTGGGGTCTGTGAGTTAAGGGTGGAGTTAAGGGAGACTTGAAATGTCACAAAACAGGGAACCCAGCATCTGCATAAGATCTCCTCAAACACCAGACCACACATGGATGGTCAAATATAAGAAGCCATCGTCTCCTCAAACACCAGACCACAGATGCAGGGTCAAATACAACAGTTCACACAGGGCAGTACACAACATGTTGTACGCCACGTATGGCATCCCATCAAAAATTCCCAGGCACAAGGTTTTGCAAAACGTTCACAGAAATGTACTGTCATAAAAATATTATGTGTGGATTTCAAAATTTTTCACATCCACAAAAACTCCTTTTTAATTCCATTTTTCCATTAACTTTTGAAGTCCCCTTGGATGCCAAGAAGCAGAAGCATATGACCCATGACTTGGCAGGAAAATCAGTCCACAGAAATAGATTCAACAGCAAGGGAGAGACATTGCAGAGAGGACTGCTAGAACTCATTATGGCTCTATACATGTACTTAAAGAGACAGGAGCAGACAGAAACAACACTGACAGAGAACCATGTGGAGCCAGAGACGAAAACCCACAGAAGCAGATGGAGGGCTGCAGACAGGAGGGGTAAACCACGGGACCTGCAGCAGAGTGAGAAAGATGGCTGCAAAGGCTCTGTTCTGCTCGCTTTGGAACTCACGATAAAGCAACAGTCCAAGAGGAACACATGAAGCTGGGGTCCCAGAGGGACAGGATGGCAGAGAGAGGGCTGAGAGAAGACACTACGAGACGCTCCCTGAGGCTGTGCCCTGAGTCCCTGGATGCAGCACACCCAAGCCCCATGCTCTACAGTGGACAAGGAGTAAACCGCAAGCGGGGGGGAGGAGGGGGGAGAGACCACAGGACCCCTCTGACTTGCCCCTCACCACCAAGGCCAGTGGTATGGTTCCCTGCCACTTAGCTCAGGCACCCGCTCCCATCCTCATCTCCATAACGACCATCTCCTGGGCAGCAACACACGCTGGGGCTGGTGTCACCTGAGCTGCAGAATTTGATAGCGGGGTTAACACCTCAAATATAGCACTCGGGAGTCTAAGAAAGGTGTTGACCAGAACTTGGATGCAAGTCCTCCCTTCCGTGCCAGCTGCTGCTGGCCTGGAGGCCACAGGAGCAGCCCAGTGATTATGTGGTGGGTTGTGTGTCTCCCACAGAGCAGCCTTCCTTCCCCACACCAGCTCCTTAAGGGGCCAAGGGTGCTAATTGTGGTCACAGCTGCTGGCCAAGGACGAGGCCCGGCAGCTTCCAGGGCAGGGAGGGAACCAGGCAGGTACCAGGCTGAGGACATGAGGCCAGCCTCACTCTGGCCAGCCTTAGTCAAACATCCAGGTGTCCAGAGTGCAGCCCCCTTCCTCCACCCCACCTGACCGTCCCCGTAAGACACAGGTGCTCAACGCAGGGGTGGGGCAGGGTGTATTCCACTGCAGTGTCGCATTTGCTTAGTTTGTTGAGGAGGTGGGAGGGGCTGGGGAGGACAATTAGTTTTAGAGAGTTTTAAGTAACTGAGGGCATCCAATGAGATTCAGCCTTGGAAAGCTTTTGATTTCCTCCTCTTTTTTTTTTTTTTAATAGAAGACATAAAACATGAATTTTCCCAAATAGAAAGAGACGGAGGGAGGAAGGGAAGTGGAAGTATAACCATGGAGCAGGCCCCTGGCACAGGACAGACCTGTACATGAGGAACACAAAGCATTGCCCAGGCTCAGGAGCGATCCAGCCAGCGCCCCGGATCCTGGTGCCAGCCCTGTACCCTGCTGAAAAACCATAGGCCACTGCCCATGGTTCAATCAAGAAGCCCAACTCCCCCTGTCCACTGCAGCCTACCCCAGTGACCCCTCGAGACCTGGCAAATAAACTCCTAAATCTCATTTTCCCCTCTCGCTTCCGCCTACACACCCCACTGCTGCTCTTGCGGTTTGGCGGCCTAGGCCCAGGCCTGGGCTCTGCCTGCTACCTCTAGATCTCAGTGCACACAGGAAGGGCTCAGAGCAATCAAGCAACTGTCATTCTGAATTCATAACCAAAGAAGAGAAACACATACCATATACAGGAGGGCTCAGGCTGAGGCACGGAGCCCTAGCCATGTTCAGGGGTGTGAGACACGGAGCCTGGCCATGCTCAGGGGTGGGAGGTACGGAGCCTAGCCATGTTCAGGGATGTGCTGCAAGTACCTGAATCTGCAGGTGCCTGAGCTGAGCAAGGCAGAGCACTGCCGCCCCGGCTGGACCCAGGGGTGAGGAGAACCTGGGGCTGAAGCCAAGGACCTCCCTGGGGCCTTCCTGGCCCTAGCGTGGGAATTGGCACGGAAAAGCCCAGCTGGCCATCCTGACCGGATGCTCTGTTTGGTTCTCCCACCCAGCGGGGCCGCTACAGAGGAGAGCAAGGCAGGTCTGTTTGTACAGCTGAAGTCATCTCATCAAATAAAACCTCACAGTGACAACAAAACAGGGATTAAGGTTCTAGGGCAGCCCAACGCCAGCAACCTCCTAGAGATGCACTTGGCTAGGGACGAGTATTTGGTGAAAAAGCAAACAGAATGGTTCCAAAATAAAGACGAGGGGGAAGCAGCAACAGACCAGGCACAGGACGCTGAGGACAGGTGGCTAGAGGCCCAGCTGGAGTCCCCACCTCCTCAGCCTCACTTTCAGGGGTGCCTCACTGTACCAAGGGGCAGCAAACCAAGCCCTGCCCACAACAACCCCTTGACTAAGAAGCCACGAGCAACCATCCCTTAAGCCTCATCTTCCTCATCTGTGACACGGCCACCCCCTTCCTTCCCAACACAGTGACTGTGGGGTCTATACAAGCATGTGGCCCCGGAGCCCAGGGCCGCATCCTTATTAACAAGAGCTTGGAGAGACTCACGCAGGTGACCTTCCGGTAGATCTGGGCAGCATTCTGGCACTCTGAGTAGGGGTACTCCGAGGTGGCCATCTCCAGCATGCACATCCCGAAGGCGTAGACATCCACCGACTCATCGTAGTGCTCCTCGTACATCTCAGGGGCCATGAACTCAGGGGTACCTGCGTGAGGAGCAGCAGACACAGGGCTCAGCACCAGCAGCCCCTAGAGAACAGACCGGGTCTCAGGGCTCCTGACAACCCCATGCCCCCAACCCTCTGTCCTGAAGCCCGAGACCCAAGTTGCAAACTTATCATTCCTTCCTTTCTTCCTCTCCTCCCTCCTTCCTCAGTTTGAAAAGGGTGAGTTAGGGAAACAGTGACTTAGATCTTCTTCCAGCCTCTGGTTCAGTTCCTAAATAGTCACAATAGTCAGGGCAGAGCTGGGCAGGACCAAAGCCAGGAGCCTGGGATTTCGTATGGGTCTCCTATGTGCTGGATGGGAAGAGGAGGAGCCAGGACTTGAACAAGTGCCTATGGGATGTTGGTGTCACAGGCAGAGATTTAAAATGCAATTGCACAACACCAACCCCCAGACTTAAAATTTCTTAGAGCAGTAAGTGATTGCCAAATATTGGGCCTAACCCAGAAGATTCATTTGGAAACTTTATTCTTCCTCTTCTTCTCTCATTTTTCTCTACTCCCTCTGCAGAAAGATTTAATGAATACATTCACAAAGAACTGTGTGCTAGGGTCCTCTCCTTGAATGCGCCAGGATCCCATATGGACACCAGTTCTAATCCCGGCAGCCCTGCTTCCCATCCAGCTCCTTGCTTGTGGCCTGGGAAAGCAGTCAAGGACGGTCCAAAGCCTTGGGACCCTGCACCCATGTGGGAGACCTAGAAGAGGGTCCTTGTTCCTGGCTTCTGATCGGTGCAGCACACTTGGGGAGTGAGTTATTGGACAGAAAATCTTTCTCTCTATATATATCTGCCTTTGGAATAAAAATAAATAAATCTTAGAACAACAACAAAAAAAAAAACTGTGTGTATTTGGCGCTGGTGCAGTGGCACATATGGCTAATTGTCCACCTGTGGTGTCAGGATCCCTTTTGGGAGCCCGTTCACATCCAGGCTGCTCCCCTTCCCATCCAGCTCCCTGGCCTGGGAAAGCAGTGAAGCATGGACCAAAGCCTTGGGACCATGCAACCGTGTGGGAGACCTGGAAGACGCTCCTGGCTTCAGATTGGCTGAGCTCTGATTACTGCCACCATTTGGGGGAAAAAAAAAAACAAAGGATTAAAGATCTTTATTTCTGTCTTTCTCCCCTGTAAATCTGATCTGTCTTTCCAATAAAAATAAATAAATCTTTAGGGAAAAAAATTATTTGCTTGTAAAAGTTCTGGGTGGTGAGGGAGAAGGAAGACAGAAAGAGGTCTTCAGTCTGCTGGTTCACTGCATTTATTGTTTGGCCATTGCACCAGGCCCAAAATAATTATTTTAAAATGTATATGAACACACAAACATTGAGAAAACATGGTTTAAGGCATTCTATAAGCTATTTACATAAAATCAATTAAACAAAAATGGCTCGTTCCAGGCCGAAGTTAGTTCCTGGGACCTCATGACTTTGAGGCCAGTGACCAGCCCACAGCCCTGCTCCCTGCCCAAAAGGTGGAGGTGCTGACTCCTAGGCAACAAGGCCCACACCCAGTACACACCCTGACTTCTGTGTCTCTAAGGCAAGGGTGAAGAACCCTTCTTCTGTCAAGGCCATCTGGATATTTATAACATCACTCGCAAGCCATATGAAATTATCAGCTCAATTAGCCTGCTGGTGCTGTGATCTAGCAGTTAAAAGCCTATGATGTCGGGCCTGGCAGCGTGGCCTAGCTGCTAAGGTCCTCGCCTTGAATGCGCCAGGATCCCATATGGGCACCAGTTCTAATCCTAGCAGCTCCACTTCACATCCACCTCCCTGCTTGAGCCCTGGGAAAGCAGTCAAGGACGGCCCAAAGCCTTGGGACCCTGCACCTGCGTGGGAGACCTGGAAGAAGTTCCTGGCTCCTGGCTTCGGACCAGCATAGCATCGGCCGTTGCGCTCACTTGGGGAGTGAATCATCGGATGGAAGATCTTCCTCTCTCTGTCTCTCCTCCTCTCTGTATATCTGAGTTTGTAATAAAAATAAGTAACTCTTTTAAAAAAAAAAAGCTTATGATGTCAACACCCCCACTGCATCCTGGTATGAGTCTAGGCTGTTTCGCTTCTGATCCACCTCCCTGCTGGTGCAGCTGGGAAAGCAGCAGCAGATCCCTGCCACCAATGTGGGAGACCCAGACGGAATTCCAGGCATCCGCCTGGCCCACCCCAGGTGGTAGCAGTCATCTGGTGAGGGACTCAGCAGATGGAAGATCACTCACTCATGCCCTCTCTCTGTGTAACGCTTCCTTTCATACGAATAATTTTTTTTTAATTTGCTTTGATTTATTGAAATTAGAATCCTGATGTGATTGACTTGGCAGGGCCAGATCAAATGACTGCATGGGGCCTCATACAGCCCACGTGGATGCTCACTCCCCCTCTCCGGAAGGACAGACATAGCTGGGGAAAAAGCATCCCCGTGTGAGGTCCCACAGAAGTGTTAGCATGGGAACTGCGCATGTCCTATAAGCATAGAGTGCAAGCCCACATCTACACAGGGAATCCCTGCGTCATGCAGTTACTATTGCCTTAGTATAACATATACAATCCAGGATAACAGGTGCTCACAGCCCTTCCATGCAGCATCACATGGCCAGAGGCCATTTGGGAGGCATGCCACAGCTATTCTCTACCAAAGTCAGCTCACACCTTTCAGCTTCTCTACAAGAAGCTCTCATCTCAACATCACAGAGACTTTCCTATGGGAGATAGGTCCCATGCACCTGCTGAGCACAATGCAGAGAACGGGAGCAGAGATTTCAACATGACCACTTTAAAAGTATTTGTAGGGCCTGGTGGCGTGGCCTAGCGGCTAAGGTCCTTGCCTTGAACGCGCCAGGATCCCATATGGGCGCCGGTTCTAATCCCAGCAGCTCCACTTCCCATCCAGCTCCCTGCTTGTGGCTTGGGAGAGCAGTTGAGGACGGCCCAAAGCCTTGGGACCCTGCACCCATGTGGGATACCCGGAAGAAGTTCCTGGATCCTGGCTTCGGGATCGGCATAGCATCGGCCGTTGCGGCTCACTTGGGGGAGTGAACCATCGGACGGAAGATCTTCCTCTCTGGCTCTCCTCCTCTGTGTATATCGGACTTTCCAATAAATAAATAAATCTTTTTTTTAAAAAAAAAGTATTTGTGGATCCTGGAAGATTCTCAGCCTTTTTCTTTTTTTTTTTTTTTTTTTTTAAGATTTATATATTGGAAAGGCAGCTATACAGAAACACAGTCAGAGAGAAAGACCTTCTGTCGGCTGGTTCAAACCCCAAGTGCCACAACAGCTGGAGCTGAGCCGATCTAAAGCCAAGAGCCAGGAGCTTCTTTCAGATCTCCCCCACAGGTGCAGGGTTCCAAGACCTTGGGCCATCCTCTACTGCTTTCCCAGGTCCCAGCAGGGAGCTGGATGTGAAGTGGAGCAGCTGGATATGAACTGGCACCCATATGGGATCCTGGCGCATGCAAGGCGAGGACTTTAGCCATTAGACTACTGTGCCAGTGTTTTATTTTTTTAATACAGGCACTAACCAGCACAAAGTGGTATATGTAAGTTCCCAGATGAGCCTACAGAACCCTGGAGAGTCTGTCAGAACCAATGGGACTGCATGGCACTGGGCCACCTTGCCCTGGAAGTGCTTTTCTTCAAGGTCTTGCATTTTTTTCTGTTGCACTGGCAGCTTTTAAACATCTAAAGTTTCTCTCCTCCAAGTTTGCCACAGGATAGGAAATGCACTGCTCAGGCAGGGGCTGGAAGTGAATGGCAGGAAGGCCACACACACAGACACAGCCTGTGCCACAGTTCAGGGCTGAGGGAAGCACCTGCTCCCAGGCCCTGGAGTGCCTCAGGATGCACCCAGAAACTACTCCAAGGGGCTCCTCAGGGCTGCACAGGCCTGAATCACCTCGGCCACTGAGGAGTGTTGCCAGGGTTTCCTCACGCAACACCCTTAGGTGTCTGATACTTCTCTGGTCCAGACCCAGCCCATCAGACATGGGAGGACCCCTCCCCAACCCCTTCTGTAAGGTCAGACACAGTTCTGCTGCAACAACTTCTCTGCTGCTTTTAAGACAAGCAGTGGTCCAGTCCTTTGGAGCTAAGGGACCCTGTAGCAGGCATAGAGTCCCTACTGCCTGGGTGGGGAGTGGGATATGCGAGGAACCCACTCTAGCCTGGCATTAAAATAACCCCGGTGCCTGTGAAACCCACTCCACATGAGCCTGTGTCTGCTTCAGGGTCTGTAATAAAATAAAAACTTCCTCTACGGAAGTCAAACACTTCCAAGCCATAACTAGCCTGGAGAACTGGGTCAAAGTCAAACCAACCCAGGTGGCTCATCCGTCCTCTCCCCCAGCAGGCAGGGCCCACCTTTTGTCTTCTTCCGGGAAGGTGGGGTGGGGGAGGTGAGCAGGGCCTGCTTGGGGACCCTGACACCTGCTAAAGGCCTTCAGTGCTGATCAAGCACCAGCCTTTTCCCCTTGGTAAGATATACCCAGCCTACCACCAGTGTGAGGCTTCCTCGAATAACCACTCTCGGTTCCCATAGCTCCCTTGCTCAGCTTACTCTCCAGCAGCCCCAGTTCCATCCCTGCCGCCTCTCAGCTCTTCCTGCACAGCTGTCTGCCCCAGCCACGCATAGCCTGTGGGCAAGGACCTTCTCTACCTCCTTCCTATCCCTCAAGGCCTGGTCCAGGCCCAGCCCAGCACACACAAACCATCTAGATGCACCCAGGAAGCTTTGAGATCCAGGGAGGCACACAGGTGTGTCAACACTTGGAATCAGGTCAGAACAAGGGATAGTGGCCATGGAGCTGATTCTGACAACAGCACCCAAGGGAGCACGGGCGTATCATATCCTCTGATGGGGTTCCAGCAGCCCAGGGAGCTGGGCCAGATCTGAAGTGCAAAGTGAACCCTCACAGCTCTGCGGAGCTCCAAGGGCTCGCTGGGCACCCCAGACACAAGTCAGCAAAGTGGTTGCCTCCCAAGAACAGGACGGCTGGTGGCCTGAGGCCATGACATGGACAGAACCAGAGACCCAGAAGCCAATGTTCTCCCAGGGTAGACACCCTGCAGGAGGCCTGTGCCAACTGCTGATCGGATCCCCGCCATCAGATTCAGGGGGAGCCAGTCGGGCCTGCAGCCCAGCATTGGCAGACTCCTGAGCAGAGGCAGCAGGGCATGCTTCCCTAACTGCAACTTTTGGGGTCCATGGACAAGCCTAGATTAGTGTTAACAGGGACACCCTAGAGAACCAGGCCCCCATGGGAGTGCAGAGCCTTGCTAACCCTACTGGAAAACCTCAGCCTCTGCCCCAGCATCATGAAGTCCCAGCCAGGAAGCCCAGGGCCTGAGTGATACCATTTGAGGCAGGTGGCCTGAGTGGCTCTCTCGGCCACCTGATCTGAGCCGCAAACTGCCCAGAGCTTGGAGCCAAGGTGCTGGCTCCCCACCCTGGGCCCCTGCAGGCCTAAGCATTCACCCTCCCCTGACCCCATCAGGGAAACTGAGGCATGGGTCAACCCTTGCCCTCCTCTGGCCCAGCTTCCCCTTCTTCCAAGGCAGCTGCTCCACCCCAGGAATCATGGTACAACCCCCACCTCAAGCAAAGCAGTTGTCTCTCTGGGCCTTGTTTTCCCTAACACCATCAACATCTCAAGCTCCCAGATCAGCTGCCCAGGCCTGTTAGTGGGAAGCCATCCCACTGGGGGCACAGAGTCCCAGTCTCAGTTCCCATGAGATTCTATTCGGGCCTGGCCCTGTACTGGCTAGTATCTCCCAGGCATCTTGACCCCCTCCAAGTAGCCGCTCCGCAAGCATTCAAAGTCACAAGGACCCACCTGGGACCTGGGGGGACATTGAGCAGCCTATACACCAGAGGTGGGCATAGTAACATGAAAGCCCTCTACCCTGCAAGCAGCTTCCAGCCAGCTGCCCCAAGACACAAGGAATCTCCTCCCCAAAAGGTTAGTCTAAGCAAGAGAGGCCAACACGCTCAGCAAACTGAATAGCCCCGTGCCACCTCCTCACCCCATCACAGGCATAACACCTTTCCGGGTGCTCCCCAGTGTGTCACTTCTTTGGCTCCCTAATCTAGAATATCCCTTCCCTGCCCACTGAGACCAACTGTGTGTCACTTGTCATAATATTCTCCAGTTCCTCTGTGGCTAGGGCCTGCTTCCCCATCCCAAGTAGCCACAGCACTCACAGCACTCACCCACACCCTGGGTAAGGTGGCTCATCTTGCCTACCACAGATCACCCAGGACTGAGTCGGGGCAGAAGCAGAGTCGCCCATCCAGTCCCAAGCAGGTCCAGCAACTGTGCCAGCTGAACCACCAGCGGCTAGGGGAGTGGCTTACGTGCCTGGCCACACACTGTCCACCATGTCTCCTTCCCCATGTCTGACCCAGATTCTCTCTGCCCCCTCCCCAGTCCCTGCTCAGCCAAGACCCTGGGAGCCTCGGGGCTCCGGCAGTAGACACAGGCTCACCTATCACACTTTTGGCGAACGATGCTCTCTTGAGAGTGGCCAGGCCCAAGTCGCCAATCTTCACGGAGCCGGTGGGCCCAGTGATAAAGATGTTGTCGCACTTGAGGTCCCGATGGATGATGGGTGGCGTCCGCGTGTGCAGGAACAGCAAGCCCTTGAGGATCTGCCGGCACCAGCTGCGGAGCACCTTGGGTTTCATCACCTTGAACCGCTTCAGGTACCTGTGTGGCAGGACACAGCTAACAGTGTGGGTGTGGCTCCCAGGAATGGCCTCGCCCATGTACACAGGGGATGGCCCGGGGACACATGCTAGCGAAGGTAACACAGAGACCTGGACAGGTCTGAGCACACACAGTGGAGGCCGGGACCACAAGCAAGCACCCCTTGCTTCCTCCGCATGCAGCACCTCCTTAACTAACGCTCAGGCCAGCCCTGAGTTGAGCCCAGGCCTGGAAGGGCATGAGAGGCCAACTCAGAAGTCACAGTAGTGGGGAGAGAGAGGGCCAGGGCCAACTGGACAAGTGGAGTCATAGGTTAAGAAGACCAAGCCACCTGTGTGACTGCTAGGAGCTGCAGGGATAGTCAAGTGGGCAAGGCTCCGAATGGGGTTCTCCCCTTGCAGTGTGGCTGATGGCTGACTCCCCTTGCAGTGTGGCTGATGGCTGATTCAGGTGGAGCCAGGGTGTGGTTAGCCAGTAGGGAAGCCTAGTTGACTGCCTACATTCCCCTAGGTGGTAGGCTCAGCCTGAATAGCTGCCTGCTCCACAGCCTGCAAACCCCAGGAGCCTTCTCCCCCTGAGGGAAACCACCTTCTAACATCCCATCCTAGAGGGCCTGGTGAGGACAGCATCCTGGCCATCTCTGCGAGATGAACATTTTTGGCACAGGAGGCCAGATTGTGCCAGAAGCTGGCCAGGGTCAGTCAGTCATTTCGATGTGGTTCTTCTGACTCGGCTTCCAAGTCCTAGGTAGGGGACACTTCCTTGAGGTGACAGACAGCTGTCCCACAGCCCAGGATCTCAGCCAGTCCCAGCTTGCCCCGTTAGCAGCCACCCACGCCAGCCCACAGAGCAGGGGCACTTACGTCTTCAGCGTCCCTGAGGTCATCAGTTCAGTCACCAGTACAATGCACCGCTTGCCCTTGGCGCTGGACTCCCAGAAATCGTAGAAGCGCACAATGTTGGGGTGCTGCAGGCCTTTCAACATCTCTGCCTCCTCCTTGAAGCGCTGCCGCTCTAGCTTGGTGAGCTTCCGGTCCTGCAGCAGGACACACGTGCACCAAGTGGGTGGTGCTTGCAGAGCCCAGGACCTCTGGCCGTTTTCTCGCTCCTTACGGAGAGCCTCACAGAGGCAGAGGACTGAGGCTCAGCAAAGAACAGGGAGGTTTCACCCTAGGCCTCCCTCTCTGTGACGCACCAACCACACAGCAGGAACACAGATGTCCCCAAAACCCACAGGGCACAGAAGCCGCTCAAAGGAGACCATCCAAGGACACTCAGCTACCAGCCCCAGAGCGTTGGCCCCCAGGAGCACAGGTACAGCCCCTGCTCAAGACCTCAGGCAATGAAGTTTGGGGAATCCAGAGATGACCACTTGTCCACTAGTCCCAAAGGCCTGCTCCCCCTCAGGGCACCTGCTGCAGAATATACTCAACCCCAAAGCACAGGAGACACCCGGGTTTGGCTGGGGAGTACCTGTGAGAGAGGCTATGATCTAACAGCGCCAGGCAGATGGCTCAGCACAAACAATACTACGGCATGTCAAAGGCATACTCTCAGTTGCACATGACAGCCTTAACATTTGCTTTCTAAACTTATGTGACACCAGAGGTTATTCTTGCAAACAGCCTGATGCACAGACTTTTTATTATCTCTAAATTGGTCTTATTAAGCCACAGGAAGAATAATAATGAACACGCTTGCTTCCTGTGTACAACTTAGAGGAAGTGCTGAAGACACAATAGACAAGGCCCAAGCAGACAATGACACGCACCAGAGACCAGACGTAGGAACACAGAATGAAGAATTCCAAAGGATCTCATGCTCAAGGGCCAGCACGCTGACCCTGCACAGTGGGAGGACACAGCCTCACCTACCCAGCCTCCAGGACACAGCCATGGGTCAGTGGAACAGACCCCTGACCCTGAATTTAAATAGCGGCCACCACCACCACTATCATCATCTGCATTATCCTGGGGACCCCGTCTGATCCAAGAGCTCGGGCATCTTCCATCTACGTATTTCACCCAAGAGGACACCATGCCAGCAGGCACCCATGCATCCATCACCACACCAGTCCCACCTTATTAATTCTGGCAGCTCATCCAGGCCCCAGCCCTGCCTTACCCACTCTTCCAGAGGACCACCCCCAAAGAGCTGGCATGGCCCAAGGCAAGGGGACTTGACCACTTCATCTTAGAAGATGAAGCCAAGGGCTGTGGCCCAGCACTCCCCTCATGCCCACCTGCTCTGCTGACACGCTCTGAACCTGAACAGGGCTCAGCGTCACCTATGAGTCCCAGAGGAGGCAGAGCCTGTCTTCCTCAACTTGGGAGCCACAGCAATGTCAGAAATGGGATATGTGTATTTTCAGAAGACAGTAATAAACACCATGGATCACAGAGAAGCAGAATGTTGAAGAATTCCAAGAGACAGAGAGCAGGCGAACCCAGACAGACAGCAGGAGGAACAGAGATAAAGGAAACACAAGCCCAGGCCCCATACAGCAACAAGCCAGGCTCCAATACAGACACGAGATGTGGGTTGCAGGACCACACAGAGGAGTGGGCCAGGAGCTTCTTCCAGTCTTCCCACATGAGTGCAGGGGCCCAAGGAGATGGGTCATTTTCTGCTGATTTCTAAGGCACATAAGCAGAGAACTGGGTAGGAAGCAGAGCATCCCAGGACTTAAACTGGCACCCATCTGAGATGCTAATACTGCAGGCTGAGGCCTAAAAAGCAGGTTGTGAGAGAGAGAGGAGAGACTGTCATAGGCATGGGAGGCAAAGACAAAGAGAAAAAAATCTTTCATCTGCTCCCTGTATGGCTTAACAGCTGGGTCTGGGCCAGATGAAAGCCAGGAGCCCGGAACTCCATCTGGGTCTCCCACATGGGTGGCAGGGGCCCAAGTACTTAGGCCATTATCTGTTGCTTTCCCAGGCTCATTAGCAGAGAGCTCAGAAGTGGGGCAGTTGGGAATCAAACCAGTGCTCTGATGTGGGATGCCAGCATCTCAGGCAACGGCTTAACCATGGCACCACCACATCAACCCTTCAAAAAAGGGTTATTTATTCAAGAAAAGATCGGGCCAAGAACTGCGAGAAGCTCATCTCAGCATGTGAAACTGACAAAGGACTCCAATCTAGCACACACAAAGAACTCCTGTAAAGCACAGAAGATGACACAGAAATGGCCCAATGGCATATGAAAAGGTGCTCAAAGCCTCAGCCACCAGGAAGAGGCCAGTTAAAAACACACTGAAATGCTGCTGCCCAGACTACATGGGAGAGACTGACAATCACAACTGCTGGGAACTGGAAGCACCTGCCCACCACACACACACACACACACACTCACTGAGTGAGACAGGACAGCCCTAGGCAGCTCTGCAGCTGCCCTCTGTCCCCCAAACCCCCTCTGGGACCCCCACAAATGACAGACTCAGAGGTGGGTGTTCTAACAGCCACAGACAAAACAGGAACACCCCTGGCCTCAGCCCTCCAAACAGACCATGACTCAGAAATGAAAAGGAACCAAATCCTGGGGCAGGTATTTAGTGGGTAAGGATGTCATGTCTCACATCAGAGGGCCTGGCTTTGAGATTTAGCCCTTCAAGTCCCCATCTGCCGACACAGTGGGTGATGGCTCAAGTACTTGGGTCCCTGCCACCCACATGTAGGGACCTGGATTGAGTTCTAGGTCTCTGGCCCCATACCAGATGTTAGACATTTGGTGAGTGAACCAGCACAACAACTTCATCTGACAAATAAACAGAAAATTGTTTTAAAAAATAAATATATCCTGGGCCCGGCGCGGTGGCGCAAGTGGTTAAAGGTCCTCCCCTTGCACGCCCCAGGATCCCATATGGGCGCCGGTTCTAATCCCGGCAGCCCCGCTTCCCTTCCAGCTCCCTGCCTGGGGCCCGGGAAAGCAGTCGAGGACGGCCCAAAGCTTTGGGACCCTGCACCCACGTGGGAGACCCGGAAGAGGCTCCTGGCTTCGGATCGGCATAGTATCGGCCCGTTGTGCTCACTTGGGGAGTGAATCATCGGACGGAAGATCTTCCTCTCTGTCTCTCCTCTCTGTATATCCGCCTTTCCAATGAAAAAATAATAAAAATAAATCTTTAAAAATAAATAAATAAATATATCAAATAAAAAAGAACAAATTCCTGAGTCTCAAAATACCATGGGCAAATTTCAGGACCATCAAGCTGAAAGAAGCCAGACCCCGTTCTCTGAGCTTCATCCTGCTCGATCGTGGTCCTGGGACTTTCTGGTAAGCATGGCTCCAAACGCCCCATCTTCACTCTGCCTCAGAAAAGCCGAGACAGGTCCTGCCATGAGGCCAGCAGACACAAGGGCCTCTGGGGTTGGTCCAAGGGACAAAGAGAATAATATGAAACCACTGAATGCACTGAAGGAGAACAAAATGAAACAGTTAATGAACAAGCAAGTGAGATTCTCAAAGTAAAACAGAAATATGACCAACTCTGCCAGCCATTTATTCACAAGAGGTTAGAGCTGACGGCCAAAACCTCCAATGTAGGGTCATTACATTTGTCACCCATCCACAGGTGTGGAAGAGGACGAAGAGGCCCTACACACTCTCACCAGCTAAAGCAACAGGCTGTGCAGATACTAAACCAGCTTACAGAACAGTTCTTACTTGGATGAAAATCCCCAACTTCAAAAATAAAGTTCTCACCAAAGAATTAAGCTGCCTCTGCAATGCCAACATGCCATATGCGTGCCAGTTTGAGTCCTGACTGCTTCAACTCTAATTTAACTCCCTGTTAATGTGCCTGGGAAAGGCAAGAGGGGACAGCCCAAGTCCTTGGGTCCCTGCACCATGTGGGGAATGTGCAGGAGGCTCCTGATCTTGGCCAAATCCAGTATAGTACTAACTTCTCAATATGGAGGAAGGGGAAGAAAGAGGGGAGGATCCAAAGGAGGAGGGTGAAGGTGATGAAGGTAAGGAAAGAGAGGAGAAAGACGATTCAGACCAAACACCAGCGGATTCAATCCTCGGGAGCAGCTGCCATGCTCTCATTTTTCCTTTTTCGCCTCTTGGTGCTCGCCCTCCCTGTTTTGGAGTTCTCTTTTCTCTGCACCATGGCTCTCATCTCATTGTGGAGGGAACACATGGGGAAGGAGTCTCTTCCCCTTTGTGCTCCCAATTTATTTTATCCCTTCTTGTCTCGACAAAAACGGTATGAAATCAATACCACCATGCTCTGTGGGAAAAAAGAAAGCCTTCTGTTCCCTCCGCTCTGCTGGGAGCTGGAGGGTGCCAGGCCCCTGTGTGGTGCAGCATAGAATTCTACCTGGCCCCCTCCTTTCTCTGCATACTGGGCTCAGAGATCACACTGCGTCTCTATAAGGATAGTCAGCATCCAACAACGCGTACGTATCTACTGTCTCTGCTTTAAAAGAAAACAGGGATATAGAAGGTCAGCAAACGATGGAATTAAGATGCCTGGGTGGGGTAACTGGGCATTCTGAAAATACAGCTTCCCCTCAAGCAGGTATAGCTGTGATGCTTAACAAACAACCCTGCAGACTAAGATGACACTTTTAGAAAATATAACTCTTGGACCCAGAGTGGTAGCCTAGCAGCTGAAGCCCTTCCCTTGCACACACCAAGATCCCATAGGGCGCCGGTTCTAATCCTGGCACCTCTACTTCCCATCCAGCTCCCTGTTTGTGGCTTGGGAAAGCAGCCGAGGATGGCCCAAAGTCTTGAGACCCTAAACCCATGTGTTTGCTGCAATACAACTAAATGTGTATTCCCCCTTCAGAACAAAAAAAGGAAAAGAAGGCAGAACCCAACGTGTGTGACCAGTGTGGTCCCACGTGAATGGGAGATCGCCAAGTTCAGAAGTGATGCAGAACACTAAGCCACTGAGGCACGTGGTACCCATGGGGGTGGGCAAACCTGGTGGATGAGAGGCCTGGGAAGTGAGGGGAGGTTTCCACACTAGCCAAGGACAAGAGGTCACCTTTGGGCATTCATCACAGCCCAAGAATCTATTAGAGA